GAAAGATTTAGGGGCAGGTAGATGGTGTAGTGGATTGAGCACCAGCCCTGGAGTCAGGAGGACCTGAGTTCAAATCCAGCGTCAGACACATAACACTTACTAGCTGTGTGACCCTGGGCAAGTCACTTAACCCCATTGCTTAGCCAAAAAAAAATAAATAAAATGGAAGATTTGGAATAAGCAACTTTTCAGATTCCTTCCATGTCTAGGACAGTGATTTTGTGATCCTATGTTGGAAAATAGAGGGGTGGGAAGGCAGAGGCAAATTGCAAGGAGTCTGATCTGGAGGTGTGAAGAGTTAAGTCTTATCCTTTCTCTTTCCCTCTTTCCCCTCTCCTTCTATGAGTAAATCATTTCTCAGTGCTTAGCCATTTCAAACCACCTCACCCCCACAAAGAAAGTGTGAGGATTCACAGGATGAGTTGTGTTGAAACTCTTTGGAAGGAAACGTGTAAGGTGAAAGTTTAAAAAAAATGAATTTAGTCGTGCTCACCCTGGACTGAGCTTCTGGGAGATTTTCATATGTGTTTACTTTTTTCTCTAGTTTGCCAGAAGGCATAATCAGTTCAAAACATAGTCATTTAATGAAATTAAAATAGTGCAAAAAATTTTGCAATGGAAACTTTCCTTCCCATAATGTAAGGAAATGTCTCACAGATATATAAATATAGATACGTATGCATGTATGTATGTATGTGTATATATGTGTATGTGTGTGTACATGTATATGTGTATGTATATATGTGCATATACACACATATATAAATGCATGTATGCATCATCAGGGTGGAGAATGAGCCTACATAGAGATCATGAATGAGGGACCCACACATGGGAAATAGGTAATCATGAGTAACCTTGGAGAGAATGTTTTCATTTGAAAGGTGGGGTTGGAAGACAGAATGAAAGGACTTGAGAAGAGGGTGGATGATGAGGAACAAAAAGGCAAGTGCAGAGTACTTTTTCTAGGAGTCTAGAAGTGAAAGATGCAGGACCATAGTTTGCAGGGAGAATAGAGCCACATCTTGGGAAAGTCTTTTTTAAGAATGAGGAGAATTGGATATGTTTGTAGGCAATGAGGAAGGAACCAGTAAATGGAGAGAAGTTGAAGATGAAAGAAAAAGAGTACTCTCAAAGGCGATGGGATAAAGGGCACAAATTGAGGGATTCAGCCTTGTTAAATAGAAGGGCCACGTGATCCTAAGACTGAAGCAAAGCAGGACAGAATGGGTGAAAAAAGAGATTTTTGAGTTGCGGAATAAAACAAAGAAATCAGCATTTATTAAGTGCCTATAAATATGCCAGGTGCTGTGCTGAATGCTTTACAAATATTATCTCATTTAATCCTCACAACAACCTTGAGAGGTAAGTCTTTTACTGTCCCTATTCTAAAAGCGAAGAAACTGAGGCAGACTGAGGTTAAGTGACTTGCCCATGTCGCACAGCTAGTTCTCAGGCCAGATTCGAATTCTAGTCTTCCTGATTCCGGGACCAGTGCTCTATCCATTGCATCACCTAGCTGCCTCTAAGTTGATAAAAGATATGAGATAAGATAGGTAAGAAAAAATTGTGGATGGAAAAAAAATTAGAAAATTTGGACTCTTGGGAATGTGAGAGTTGATCAGAGAAGGCTAAAAGAGCTGACCTACAGAAGGAAGGACACAGCTCAGGTTGGGTAACATGAATTTGGGGTGGACCAAGGCTACAGGGTTTCATAACATCTTCTAGTACCATTCTTCTATTTAAGAGTTGGGGCAGGGAAGGCAGGTAATTGGTGTGGTATGGGGTTGAGGGTGATAAGATGTGAATTCTGGAAGGACAGGGAACAGAGTCAAGGATAGTAGAGAGGGCTAACTGAACTCATTATCTTGAGCCTAAAGGGAGGAAAGTTGAGGCCAGAATAGGAGTAATGGATTATAAAAAATAGACAGCAACGAAGACACTAGAGGTCATGGGAAGGAGGAAGAACAGTCTTAGGAAATGCCTAGAAGGAAGAATGAGGCAGGTGCAGAAGTGGAAAGAGAGGGGATTATGGTCAGTGAGGAAAATTTCCTAAGATCGTGAAAGTAAAACAGTTTGAGGTTATGGTCAAATCTAAGATATGACCACCCCTATGGGTGACTGTGATGGAGTGGGAATGAATGAATGAGAATTTCTTAAGTGCTTACTATGTACAAAGCACTGGCTGGGGGGAGGGGGCCTACAAATAGAAAAGTTGAGACTGTCCCTGTTCTCAAGGAGCCCACGTCCTAATGAGGAGAATAGCACATACAGGAGGTTTCAGCTGCAAGTCAGATGGGGAAAGCCCTGTCTCCTTAGGGTACAATAGCAAAGCAGATGGTAATGCATCTTCTTTAATGTTATCACCGCTAATAAAAATCATATCCATTTCTGATATTGAGCCCTTTGATCATGCCAAGGACTCTGGTGATGAAAAATTTCCTTTCTGAGCCTTCAGTAGCTATGACTGCAGATGCTACAGAGGAAGCTGCCAGGTCCAGTCTCCTCAGGGGTTGTGTCCTAAGATGATAGTTACAGGTGTCTGGGAAGGCTAGGGGTTGGAGGAAGAAGGGTCTGACCCTCCAGAAGATCTTTGGCTTACCTGACTATTGTGGCAGTTGGTGGTGGCAAAGAAGGTGGCCTCCTTTTTCCACAATGACTGCTCCCCCTCAATGATGGTCATGGGGCTCAGGAATTGAGAAGGCTAATGAACTTGGAGATCAGGGTGTTCAAAGGAATACCAGGTAGAATATGGAAATCATTGAGGATGAGAGAAGGGAATGGGTTGGAGAAAGAAAAACTGTGAGCCGGGTAATGTTGGTGACAAAAAAAAAAAAGCCATGGAGGTCAGTAGATGATAGCATCAAGGATCTTGACAAGAAGATGGATAGAGTGAACTTCAAAGGAAGAGAAGCTACTTGATCATTAAAAAGTTCTGTAAGTGGTAGTAGAGAGTAAGAGGTATGCCAACTCCTGGCCCAATGTCTCACCAATGGAGAGGATAGCAACATATCAGATGTTTTTAGAAGAAGGTCAGGTTTCTGTGGGCATCAGAAGGTAAAAAAGAGTGTGAGAAAAACAATTATTACAATGATATCATTTTATCATTTTTTATTATTATATATAATTTTTAATGATATATAAATGTTATCATTTATATAGCAAGGTACTTTTATAGGATGAAGGGATGTTCATTAACAATAGAATGGGATCCTAGTGGAAAGGGAAGAAAGAAATGGGGAAGGACTAAGGAAGGATATGGCCAGGCTGAATAGGGATGAGATTAACCAGAGAGATTTCAGGAGTGATAGAACAAGGACAGAGGAAAGTATGGAGAAGTCTATGGACTAAATTGGGCCAATTAGAATTCTAGTGTAAAGGTTTCCTAGGTAGAGTCCTTTCAGTCGGTTGGAGTAAGGAATAGGAGGGACAATGCTAATGGTCACCAGGAAGGAGGTCCTAATGGTTGTTGTTTCTACAGATTCCACATCCAGATGGAGCTGGTAGTAGTAGCTGGGACGGTTAGGTAGCAGCCTATAGTCCCAGGCAACACGTCTTAGGGGCTTCCATTCCTTAGTATTCTCCATTTCAGTCCTTTGTGGATCTGGAGCCAAGTCCAGGGCTAGAGGCTGGAGTAGAATAGTATGAGGAGTGGCAATGGTACTTGGGGGCATCACCAATGGATGTTTTCCTTTGGGTTTCAATTGTTTTCCCTTGGGCATCAATTTTCATCCTGAAATATAACCTCCGTGAAGGCAGAGACAGATAATATCTTACCTAAACTATCTATATCCCCCAGTACCTAAGCAGCTAGGTGGCATAGTGAATAGAACACTGGACCTGGAGTCAAGAAGAGCTGAGTTCAAATCCTGCCTCAGGTACTTATTAAGTAAGTGACCCTGGCAAGTCACTTATTTCTGTGCTTTATTTTCTTCATCTGTAAAATGCAGGTGCTATATTCAGTAACCTCTAAGGTACCTTTCAGCTCTAAATCCATGGTCCTGTGACCTCACGTGGTGCTCTGTAGACAGCAATAAATTTTTAATCAAACTGAACTTTATTTAACAATAGTATCCTATCTCTGTGGCTCAAAATAATTCTTGAAAGTTTTGCAAAAATGTAATTTATTCATGTGAATGCTCAAGAAAAATAGTCACATTTTGGTATTTTTAAAAGAGTAACACAGGGAGAATAAAATACATATATTAACCAATCAAAGCTACACAATCCACAAATTGTTCAAGACCTTAATAAAAAAGTTGGTGATGAAAACAAAGATCTACCAGTTATTAAGTTGAACCCAAACTCCTAGGTCCTAAGCCCAGCTAATGCATGGAGTCCTTGATTACTTGGTACAATTCAGAAAATTATATTTTCTTTATTTCCCTTATGACTTTGAATGAGGTCTGGAAAGGAATGTCAGGCTCTTCACCTGGTGACCTTAAATACTCATTTGTGATTGAGGGCTCCTGTCCTCCGTACCAGCCAATCTGCAGATTGAGCTGCTTTTTCCAAAACCAGCATGCAGAATTCTAGTGCAGAAAGCAGTCCAAGGCTAGACTAGGAATGCGGAATTCTGAAGAGGATTCCGTCAGTCTTCAGCTGCCTCTGTTGGAGATTTGACAGAGCATAGGTTAGCGGATTCCGCAAATAACCCCCAGCTCCCACATTTACCATCAGCCCATCCTCCTCCCTCACAGCCATCTGGTGACGAAGGCCAAAAAGGGATTGATGAGAGTTTCCCTCTTCTCCCTGCCTCTTGTCACCTTCAGAGGGAGATTTTAATAAGCACTGAAACACTCCAAATGATGGGGGTTACAAAGGCTGAGGAAGAGGCAGGGAGAAGAGGCAAGAGGAGGAAAGGGGTGGGGAAAGGCACATAGAGGCTCCAAATAATTTAAAAACTTGAAAACAATCCCGCCCTGATAGCTGGTTTGTATTTCTGTTGGGTTATCTCCCCTGCCAATGCCTAATGCATATGCTTCAATTTACTTTTCTAGACACAGATGGAAATCTATGTCGGAGTAACCAGCTGCTACAAGTGATGCTAACCATGCATCGTCTCCTCATCTCCTCCACCGACTTGCTCCAAAAGCTCATCATACTATATCCTTCAGCACCTTAATTTGTGTTTTCATGCTGGGCAGAAAGGGGAAAGAGAGGGAGGGGGAAGGGAATGAGTATTTACGTAGTACCTACGACAGAGGCAGCTGGTGGCTCAGTGGATAGAGCATTGGGCCTGGAGTCAGGAAGACCCCAGTTCAAATCCAGCCTCAGACACTTCCTAGCTGTGTGACCCTGGGTGAGTCACTTAACCTCTGATTGCCCAACAAAATAAATCTACTGGGGAAAGAAATGGCAAACCACTCCAGTATCTTTGCCAAGAAAATCCCAAATGGGGTCATGAAGGGGCAAACACGACAACAATAACAAGAACCTATTATGTACCAGCACTATGTGCTAAGAGCTTCGAAAATATTGCTGCAGGAGGCGATGATGATGAGATGTGTTGTAGGACACATCGCTGTTCTTTAGTCTCCCTTCCCAGGAAGTCACTTAGAAGCACCAGAGGGCTCCCCGAGACTCCCCGCAAGCTGAAGATCAGCTCCTGAGAACACAAGTGGATGAGATTAGCCGGAGTACACATCTGAAGAATGCTAGGTGATGTTGCCTATGTTATCTATGACCTGAAGGGTAAGACAAATAAGCTACAGCTCTCTACCTGGCCAGAGGAAGTACATACAAAAAAAGCAATGTCACCTTAGTTTGTAGACTCAGAGGATCATAGCGCTTAATCTCATCTGATCCAATGTCCTCATTTTACAGATGAGAAAACTGAGGCCCAGAGAAGTCACAGAGGTAGAAAAAGTCAGAGGATTAGGTCCTCAGACTCCAGAGTTAGCATCTTTTCTACTATACCTTTCTATCTCCTCTTGTTCAATCCGAAGTTATTGGTTCAATGGAAAGGATAGCAGCCTCAGAGTCAGCAGACCTGGGTTCAGATCTCACCTCTGAGGTTCACTACCTGTGTTACCCTGGGCAAACCATTTCTCCTCCCTCAGCTTCTTCATCTATAAAATGAAAGGGAGTAGACTAGATGCTCTCTGAAGTTCTTTCCAACTCTAAAGCTGTGATCTATTTAGCACAGTGCCTAGCATATAGCAGGCCCTTAATAAATTCTTGTTGACTGACTGGTCACTGATGATGATGATGATGATGATGATGATGATGATGATAATGATGATGATGATGATGATGATGATGATGATGATGACGATGACGATGTCATGGGTGCATCTCCAGGTCTAATCATTATTACTGCCCAGCAGACCAAGGAGGATAATTTCAATAGGTTATTCAAAATATCAAATTTCAGGAGATTCTCATGGGCAACATGACATTCAAACACAACTCAATGGAAATTTCTTTGAGGAAATTTAAAGTCCTTGTCTATTTTGGAGTGTGGGTGATGGAAACTCTCACTGCTAACTGTTATCTGAGTAAATGTTGCTGCAGAAATCCAGCAGTAATCACTGGACCTTCTCATGCACAAGGATACTAAGAGAAATGAAAGATTTCTTTTTTCCTAACAGCTAAAATTCTTACACACCCCAAAGAAGTAGACAGGGAGATGTGGGAAGGTGGTGTGTGAGAGATATTTCCATTTCTCAGATGGTGGATTTCGCTAGCATGCCTGTCCTGTCTTCAATTTTCCCATTTATTTAGGAAGGCTGAGGCTCTGAAGAAAGCTTGCAGATGTCACAAGCTTTAGAAGCAACAGCTTGTATCGTGCAGGCACATGCAGGAAGGCTGGCAGCTGGCCAAGAAAGCCTTGTTTGTTTCTCTAACTTTTTTTTCAGGTGTGAAACTAGTAGAGATAGGAGATCCCCCTGTACTGTCTCTACCCACACTCCCTACCCCCCACCCCTACACTGCTTCATTTGCAAAATGTGGTCTTGGAAGTAGAAAGAGGCTGGTTAAGTGTTTTGAGACTTTAGCAACAGTAAAATAGGACAGCTGCCCTAAAACCCAAGGGACCCAGTGAGTGACTTAGCAGCCAAGAATGGACCCTGAATGTTTTGCTAGAGGTAAGTTCCTCAGAATCTTCCCCATCTAGTGAGTGCTTAACTTGGAGTCAGGCAGACCAAGTTAAAGTTCTGTTTCTAGTTAAATGACCATGGGAAGATCACTTAACCTCTCCTGTCCCTCAACTTCCTGACCTACAAAATAGGGTTGATGCATTTAGTACCTACATCACAGGGTTGTTGTGAGACTCAAACAATGTATGTGTAAAGTGCTCTAAAGCACGTCCAAAAATACTTTGCGAATGTCATTTATTGCTCTATGTTTTAGCCTGTTATGCTCTAGCATGCCAGTTTTCATCATGGCCTGCCCCCCACCCCGGAAGAGAAGTTAGATTGGTCACACTTTCCACACTGAGAGAAACTTAAGATTTCCAAGCAAGAAAAACTTTTGCTCTTTTTGTGGGATGTTAACAAATCCAGTCCTTGCTCAGACGTATAAGAATTTTTCACTCAATTAGTCCAGTTGGTTTTGCATTTTTCCATTACAGGAAAAAAAAATCAAACTCCCTTCAAGTTGGCATTAACATAGTTCAAATTCCTGAAGACTCCAGGTGGAACGTTTGGAAACTGGCCTATGAGTGTTCACTGGGAAGAGGGGGGAAAACTTAGAAAGGGGGAAGTCTCTGAGCTGCAGAAAACTGAGTGAGTCAGGGCTCTGGGCACCCATATTCTGTCACTCCTCTGGCAAGTATCGATTTCTTCACAATGCCCCCAAACTGACACAAGCAGCTTAAAAGCTATGTTCCTTCACTTCTTGTGTCTTTGTTTTGTTTTATTTTACTCTGGCCAGGGACCCAATGGGGTTGTGACTTCAGGAGGTTAGCTAAGCTAGTAGTTCTCAAACTTTTTGGTCTCAGATCCCTTTTACACTCTTAAAAGTTGTTGATGCCCCCCACCCCAAGAGCTTTTGTTTGTCTGTGTGAGCTATCAATATTTATTGTATTAGAAATTAAAATGTCTTAGCATTACAATGAATTTTGACCTTGTGGACTCCCTGAAAGGGGAACCTGGACCACTCTCTGAGAACTTCTGAGCTAAGCCAATATTTCAGGAAGAAATAAGTTCCAGACAGGTTAAAAATTTACCCAAGGTCGCCCAGGTAGTTAGTAAGAGAGTTGGTTTTAGTATGTGGGCCCTCTATGAGAATTGAGACTAAAGGTGGCCAAGGTAGGCAGTCACCCAGAGTACAACAAATGGATCCTTTTAAATATTACTTTTTATAAATCCATACATTTTAATACTAAAAAATTACACTTTCCTGCATACTACATATCTGTTTTATGATATGTCAAGTTAAATGTTCAGAATTCTCAGAATTTCAGAGTACAGAATCAGAGAATTTCAGAGGCCAATTCTACCAACCTACATGAACAAGAATCTCTCCTACAATGTGTCTGTCAAGTGGTCAACTTTGTTTTAAGACCCCCCCACCACCACCACATACATATATCCACTTTTCTAGTCTTCTTACGCCTTACACTCCCTCATGTTCACTGATGTTCTGGCTTCCAAGTCGTTCACACAACGTACTCCATCTCCCAGCTTTGGAGGTTTTCTCTGCTTTTCCCCATGCCTGGAATTCTCTCCCTCCTGGCTTCTCTGCCTTCCTTCAAGTCTCAGCTAAATTCCTACCTTCTATAACAACCTTTTTCCAGTCCTTAGTTCCAGTGCCTTCCCTGTGTTGATCATCTCCAATCTGTCCTGTGTATATCTTGTTTTACATAATTTGCATGTTGTTTCTCCCATTAGACTGTGAGCATCTTGAAGGCAAGGGATGTCTTTTGCCTTTCTTTGTATCCCTAGTGTTTTGCACCAGGCCTGACACATAGTAGGAGATTAATATATGCTTATCCCTTCTGTCCCTCCCTCCCTTCCTGAATTCTCTCTAGCTTATCAATGTCCTTCTAAAACGTGGTACCCAGAACTGAACTCAGTATTAGGTATAGTCTTATAAGAGCAGAAGCTAGTGGGGCTTATCACCTCCTTAGTTTTCTGGAAACTAAATCTCCCAATGTAGTCTAAAATTGCATTAGGTTTTTGTGACTGCCATGTCAAACTATTAACTTATATTGAGCTTTTGGTACACTAAGACCCTCAGATCTTTTTTTAAAGGAAATGCTGTGTAGCCACACTGCCCTCATCCTATACTTAGGAAGTTGATTTTTTGAACTCAGGCATAAGACTTTATATTCATCCTCATTAAATTCCATCTCATTGAATTTCCCCCCAGCATTTTAACCTTTGAGGATCCTACCTATCATCTGATATATTAGCTATCCTGACCACATTCATGTCATCTGTAGTCTGATAAGTATGCCATCCTATGCCTTTACCCAGGAAGCTGATGGAAAACGTTAAACCACACAAAACTAAGCTCATGTTGCCTAAAGAGCTCTCTTCAAGTTGGCATTAAACCATGTATGACTATGTTTTTGGTCCAGTCATTACCACAGTTTCGAATTCACCCAACTGTATTATCCAACTTGCATATTTTCCACAAGAATTGCTTGAAAGATATGGTCAAATCCTTCATTGAAATCTAAGATTTACAGTATTCTGGATTCTAGATTTACAATATTCTCTCTGTCATTAAAGGAGAAAGAAGTGATTCTGGCACGAAACAATCCACATTGTCCCTGATGAAGCCACTCTGGGTCTTTGTGACCAGCACTCCTTCTTTTAGTAATGTTCCTTAACCATAACCCTTTATACTTCTGCCAGGAGTAAGAAGTAAGCTCACTGGCCTATTGTTTCCAGAAGTCATTCTCTTTCCCCTCGTTAAAATCAGAACAACATCTGCCCTTTTCTCCAGTCCTGGGCCTTCTCTTCTGTTCTCCGTGATCTCTTTGAGATCGCTGAAAATGTCTCCGAAATCTTCTCTCACAGTTCTTTTAGCAGCAGAAGGTGTAATTCCCTGGCACCTAATGACTTGAATTCTTAAAGGAGAGTTACAGGTGCTTGATCTCCCTACTTATCTGGGGTTTAACTCCCCATTAACTGTTTTTGCTGTGTTCTTTCCAGTCCAAACATCATTCTCTCCTAGGCAGAAAGAAAAAACAAAACAAGCAAAAATCAGAGTTGAGCAGCTTGGACTTCTCTCTATCATCCATCATCATCTTCTCCACCACCCTGAGTGACAGACCTGCCCCTTCCTTGATCCTGTTCCTTTCCCTCAATATAATTTTTTTTTAAAATAGTTTCTCTTTTTCTTAAGCTTTACTTGACAGCCTCAGCTTTAGCACCCCTTACAGGATTGTGCCACAATCTCTGGAGTACTACCCTTCCTGCCCCAACTCCACTTCTTAACTTATAAAAATCCTACTTATATTATGGTAAGATTTAGATTTAGCACTGGGAGGAACCTTGACGTTCACCTGGTACAACCCTCTCGTTTAACAGATGAAGAAGCAGAGATCCTGTTGTTCAAGGCCCAGCTCAAATGCCACCTCCTCAGTGAAACTTCTGTCATCCCTCCAGCATGGAATGATTAACAAAGGGTGTCCCCTTTCCCTTCTCCTACCATTTGGTACTTTTTCTTGGGGGTAGAAGGTGTAGAAGGTGAACCTAGGATTTCATTGCTGTAGGAAATTCCCTCTAATAATGCAGATTACAACTTAAAGTCTTAGAAAGTTGCCTAGGGCACACTGAGGGTTAAGTGGTTTGCCCTGGATCACACAGTATGTGTCAGAATCAGGATTTGAACCCAAGGCTTCCTTAACTAATGCCATACTACTTCTCTTGTCCCTCTTACGGCCCTTATTTTTTTCTAATTTTATGATTACCTTTGTCTACCTGTTTCCCCTATCATATTCTGTTTTCCATGAAGGAACCATGTCTTATTCGTCCTTATACTGTCATGACCCTCCACATCCCCTAGCACAGGCCCTTGCCAAAAGAGACTTTCAGTAAATTGAAATGGTTAGAAGACAGGGTTCAAATCCTCCCTGTTGGCACTTGAGGACAAATGACGTAACCTCTCTGGGCTTCTGTTTCCACATCTATAAAATGAGGGGGTTTAGACTAGATGACTTCTGAGGCCCCTTCCAGGTTTAGATCTTTGAGCCTCAGTTTCCTAATCTGAAAAATGGGACTGGAATTTATGGCCACAAAGATCTATGATCCTTTGACCTGAAAATGCCACAGACTTTCCCTGTAACTCATTTAAGTTAGAACACTCTTTTTTGGCATGACTGCTATGGTTTAGGGATGGCTAGGTGGCGCCATAGTGCATAGAGTCAGGACCGGAGTCAGGAAAACTCATCTTCCTGAGTTCAAATCTGGCCTCAGACATTTTCTGACTGTGTGGCCCTGGGCAAATCACTTCATCCTATCTGCCTCAGTTTCCTCATCTGTAAGTGATCTGGAGAAGGAAATTACAAACCATTCCTGTATCTTTACCAAGAAAATCCCAAATGGGGTCATGACGGAAATGACTGAATAACAATAAATTATGGATTAGAAAGAAAACCAATCATATTATATGATATAAAGAGAATACTTCTCGATGGCTGCATCCTAAGATGAAGAGGCAAGGGGAGTAGATGGAGGAAATGATGATATCTGGTGCTTGGGTACTAGGAAAATGTATTTTATAAGGACTTGTACCTCCCAATAAGGAGTAGACATGTTTATGTTAATGTGGTGAGCAGAGGCTTCCTTTTTCCTTAATCTAGTCCCTACATACAAAGATGCTTTGGCCAAACATTCACCTGGCCTTTGTCTGAAGATCTGCTATTTTGTAAGGTAAGGTTTCTGTTTGATGTCAGTGATTTACCAGAGCTGGGAGAAATGAAGTCAGTGTAGAAAGAATGGGAGAGACAGAGATACCTAGTCTTTCTTTCTCAGGATGGCTTCACCTTTTCCCTCTCATTCCATGCACATATCTCCCAGAGTTGGAATATAAATGACAGAATGTTTACTCTGGAAATCCATACTAATTTTCTCTTCCATGGGACTGAGCTTCTTAACTCCACTGCTTTTAACCACAAGAAAGGATGCAAATTCTTCCTTGAATCCTCTTTACTTTGCCATAGACTATAAGTGGAAGTATCAAGAGATGATGAAGGATGCCTTCAATTTTAACACACATGCATCTGAATTTCATGTGCTTTTGTGCATAGAGCCAAGTGGATGTCCATGGCTGTAATTTTTTTTCAGCTACTAAAACCAAACCAGACTCTACCTTTTTTTCCCCAAGGCTTCCTTATTAAGCCACAGACCTGCTACCGCCATTCTTGGGAATCCACCAAAGGGGACCTTTCTTTCTTACTCTCTGAACTGTTTTTTAATCTCCTCCTCATAGATATTGGATAACGGAATTCTGGGTCATGTTTAAATTGGATTCCAGCTTGACAAACACTATGGAAGAGTTTCAGGAATTGGTGAAAGCTAACGGTGAGGAGTTACACTGCCGCCTAATTGATACAACTCAAATGTGAGTGTCAAGGTTTGGAGTAACCTTTCAAAGTCATGTTGCTTCTGTAGTACGGTCATGCTGCTAACTGCTAGGAGCTAAGTTGTTCAGAGAAGCCCACCTGTGTCTGTCAGGATGACTCACATTACTTCATGAAAAGTTTTCACTTTTGGAAAAGCCTGATTCTTTAACCAGGAAGAGAAGAAGAAAAATATACTGGCACTGTAGCTAGGGCCAAAGATAAAAATTCATCCTACTTAAAAAAAAAAAAAACAGGTTGAGGGATACTGACTTTTTGTAGATATTAATATAGAAAGTATAACCACAGGCAAGCCATTTAACCTTTTTGAGCCTCAGTTTGCTCATCTATAGAATGGGTATAATTAACATAATACCTACTTCATGGGTTTGTCGTGGGGTTTAAATGAAGATTACATATATAAATCTTTTTTGGAAAATGTAAAATATGCTTTATAAATTTCACTTATTGCAACAATAATGGTGGTGATGATGGTAATGGTATTGTTGGCCGTGACTACTGTGCAAAGAACTAGTAAAAAGTTGATGAGGCAGTGGGAGATGGGGAATAAGCATTTATTAAGTGTCTATTGTGTGCCAGGCACAGTGCTAAATTATTTAGCTTTATGTTATTTGATGAACATATCATAGGGCTATAGGGGTAGCTTTATATCTGGAAAGGACCTGGGGACTTTAAGGGTCATCTAGTCCAATCCCCTCATTTTTTCAGAGGAGACAACTAAGGCCCAGAAAAATGAAATGACTTGTCCAAGGCCACACAGGAAATAAACAGAAGAGCTGAGATTTGAACTCAGATTCTTCAAGTTCAGATCCAGAACTAGTGATATTTGTGTTACTGTCATAGAACCCTAGAATCCTTAATGTAGAAGATACAATCAGAGGTCTCCAGATCCATCCCCGCAGATTGCTCATCTATAAGTTTGACTAGCGCATCCTGGGGAAATGGGCATCCTTCCTGTTTTCAGATTCCTTTGAAAAAAAGAGATAACTTCCTCATTACTCTACTCCAGTGGAGTTCTGTTATTGTTGTTCAGTCATGTTCAACTCTTTGTGACCCTGTAGACCATGGTGTGCATGGAATTTTCTTGTCAAAGATAATGGAATGGTTTGCTATTTCCTCTCTGGTGTATTAAAGCAAACAGAGGTTAAGTGATTTGCCCAGAGTCACACAGCTAGTAAGTGTCTGAGGTTGGACTTTAACTCAGGTCTTCTTGACTCCAGGCCCAGTGCTCTATCCACGGAACCATCTAGTAGGCCCTGCTCCAGGGAACGACATATTGTGTAATAAATGTTGTAGAAGATTGACATTCATGGAATATTAAGAGTTGGAGGTACCTAAAAATCATTATTAGGAACTTTTCCCTTACATCAAGCAAAATGTTTCTCTGCGGCTTTACCGATCACTCCTAGTTCTATCCCCTGGGATCAAACAGAATAAATCTGGTCCCAAGACTAGATTTAATGGATCCCGGTCCTATTCTGTGGTGGTTGACTGCCCTAAGAATGGGACAGTGGAAAGAGCACTGAACAAAATAACAATCAAGGGGTTTCTTTGTGGAAGGAATAAAATCATAGTAAAATGCATGTGAAAAAACAAATGGGCAAGAATATCCAGGGGCACCCTGGGCAGGAAGAGGTGGAGGAGAAGAAAGGGATGAACAAAGTGGTCTTGTACCCCCAGAATTTAAAACATATTATCAAATAGTTCTAAAAAGCTATCTGGTACTGAACCCAAAAATAGATAAGTGAGTCAAGGTAAGGAAGTCCAAGCAAATATAGACAGAAGATTAGTATTTGATATAGTTATAGAAAACAAATATTAGAGAAATGTTTTACTATTTAACAAATATACTTGAGGAACTTGGATAGCAATTTGGTGGAAAATTGATTCAAGCCCATATCTCACACCATGTAACACAATGAATTCTGCCTGTATGATAGAGAAACATGAAAATGAGTACTAAATATGAAATATGGAAGACAGAGGAGTAATGCACTTATTTTAATTGTGAAAGAGAAATGCCTTTTCTTAATTAAACAAAGAGAAAGAATTATTAGGGACAAGACAGGTGTGCTCAACTACATTAAAATAAAAAACTGTAAAATATGTAATCAAAGAAAATAACAGATTGGAAAAACATTTATGACAAATGTGATAGATTTAAAACTTGGCATCTAAAATATATAAGGAACTGTTGAAATTTTGCAAAGTTAATTCTCATTCCATAATAGATAAATGTGGTCAAAGGGTGAGAATAGATAATTTCCCAAAGAGAAAATACAAATTATTAAAAATTACTTGAAAAAATGTTCACCCTCATCATTCAAAGAGATACAAATTAATACAACTTTAAGGTACCAAGCTCCCACCCACCTAAATATAAAAAATAACTTAAAGCAATGACATCAGTATTGGAGTGGTTGTGGTAGAACAGGTACCTTCGTTAATGGCTTTTCAGAGAACAAACTTGTAGAAGTGTTTTAGAGAACAGTCTGGCAGTACATAGAAAAAGTTAGAAAAATAATTAAACCATCTGACTGGATAATTTCATTGTTGGAAATAGCCTCTGATTTTTTAAAGCTATCCTTTCAAAGATTTCCATAGCAGGATTGTTAACAATTGTAAAAAGCTGAAAGTGACCTAAATTTCCAGCAATAGAAGGGATAAATAAATGGTGATAAATTAATTTAATTAAATAGTATAATTTTAAAAAGCAATAATAGCATGTTATAGTAGAAAGAGTGCAAGATTTGGAGGCATTGGACCCTGGTTCAAATACTGATTCTGCTACGTTTTGCCTATGTGACCTTGGGCAAGCTACCCTAATCTCTGTCCATCTCAGCTTCTCATCTGTAAAATTAAGAAGTTGTTACTGAGATCCCTTGCAACTCTAAGTAATATAAAGAAATCTGCTAAAACCTTTATGAAATGATATAGAGCAAAAAAAGCAAGGCTAAGAGAATAGAATACACACTACCAAATAAGAGGAAGAGTAGATAAGAATGAGTGGGCAGCTAGGTAGCGCAGTGAATGGAGCACCAGGCTTGGAATCAGGAAGACTTAGCTTTCAAAATGGGGTCATGGAGAGTCAGACATGACTGAAACAACTGAACAACAAGCCTGGGTCAGTCCAAAATCTTTGGTTGTCTTAAGAAATCTAAAAGAATTTCCACATCACTGTATGAATGCCAAAGCAGCCCTCTGCACATTGACTTAGGACAGCATGTGTATCCCACAGAGCTCTGTCATTCCACGTGATGGGAATAGGGATGCTCAAAGAAAACCTTGATGCTAGCAATACTTTCCTTCTAAAATGTCAAATGGGAAATTCTGTATTTATCAAAAAAAATACTTCTGTATGCCAAATTTTCATTAGGAATAGCAACTTGATTTCTTCTGTTTTCTTTCCATTTTTTTTTGAGGGGGAGGAGTTGTTCTTTATGCTAGACAAGCATTTGAGTTCTATCAATATGTTGCAATTCCCAGAATGTTTCATTAGTGAAATTTTGGGGAAACGCTGTACCATAAATGGGGATTTTTTTCCAGGAAAAAAAAAGCCAGGTAAAGATGCTGTCTCATTGTTCTTATCTTTACACATCTCTCCATTACATCAAAGTTTCAAAACCAGATACATTAATTAGATTAGCCATTAATTAGAATGGGGAGTGCTTTGGAGGAGCAAGGAGAGAAAGCAATATTCCATTCTTAGACAAAAGAATTAGTAATAGGGAGCTAAAACTATGACTAGTGCCTGTGATTAGGCTCTTCCATTAGCTTGAAGTAAACTCATTTTACCCTGGAGCATGTTTGAAGTGCTTGTTGAAAACCAATAAAATTTCTTGATTGTAGTCATCTTTAAAAAAAAAAAAAAAGCTGATTTGGGGAAATTTTCATGGCATACTGTTTTAGCCAAAAGTTATCTATATTCTTATGGGAAATGTTAATGGATTTTTTTTGCAAAAAACAATTTTGATTTATTTCTGTCTTTCTTCTCCCTCTCCCTCTGTCTGTCTCCTCCTGTTCCTTTCTCTTTCCTTTTTATATCTCTGTCTCTCTCTCCCCATCTCCTCTTGTACCTGTCTTTCTTGCTGTCCATTTCTTCCCATCTCTGTCTTTTTCTCTCTCTCCTTCTCCTCCTCTCTCTCTCTCCTTCTCTCTCTCTCTCTCTGTCTCTGTCTCTCTGACTCTCTCTCTCTCACCATCTCCTCCTATCTCTGTCTCTGCCTGTCTTTCTCATCTCTTTCTCTTTTTCTTCATCTCCCTTCTCTTTCTCTCTCTTCATCTCCTGACTCTCTCTCTTTCTCTCTCTCTCCATCTCCTCTTGTTTCTCTCTCTGTCTCTGTCTGTCTGTCTCTGTCTTTCTCTCTCCATCTTCTCCTGACTCTGTCTTTCTCTCTCTTTTCATCTCCTGTCTCTGCCATCTGCCTGTCTATTTGTCTTGAACTCACACAACAAAAGCAATGCTCGAGACTGGTCTAGGAAGCTTACTCAAAGGATAAAGCCCAACACCAGTAAGAAAAGGAAAGTCTCACTTCTCTTTGACCATCTGGAGCCAGGAGAGCTGTCCGAGCACCTTACTTACCTTGAATTCAAATCCTTCAGAAGGATATCGGTATGTTTCTGGGACTCTGGTGAATGCGTTGGGGCTTCTGAGGAAAACAGACAGCTGCGATTTGGGATCTATGCATGCTGAGACTCAAGAAGAGGGGGCAAGGGGTGGGTGCATATGCCTGTTACCATTCACTCATGGTGCAGTGAAAAGAGTACTAGCTCTGTAGTCAAGGGACTGGGTTCAAATCCTGCTTCTGACAGTTAGAGTCTGTGTGAACTTGAACAAATTATTGAACCTCCCTGGGCCTCAGGTTCACCATCTGTAAAATGAAGCAGTTGTACTAGACAGTCTAATTCCTTCCAGCTCTAAATCTATGATCACTCTAACCCTAAAGGATTCCTGAGTCTTGGCACCATATTCAAGGAGTCCTCTCCAAAAGAATACAGTCAGCCAGCACATCTCAAAGACTTAGGTGATCTGTGTGCCCCTGCCATGCCACCCACCTCTGACCATGACTTGACTCAGCCCCTCCTTAGCTTTCTAAGATGCCAACGTGGCAGCAGGTCCATCTTCCCAATTTTGCTCAGCGGCTTTTGCTGTCGATACAAACCACCCACCTTCCAAACCTTCCACTACCCAACACCTTGTATTTACAAGGCATCAGGGATCCCAGAATCATGAATAGAAGAGTCTTTGGAGGTTATCTGGTCCAACCCCCTTTCCTATTTCATCCTATTTTATCTATAAGGAAACTGAGGCCCAGAGAAGGGAAAGTGACTAGGTCAGAACAGGCCATAAGGGGTAGAGTCAAGATCTGAACCCAGGCTCTTGGGATCTGACTCCACCTCTCCTTCCGTCACACCACATTGAAAGAGTGCTTGTCACTCAATGGGAAGACCACTGCACTTAGACATGAAAGACCTACTAAGTGCTGTGTTGTCACTAGCAGATGGTAGGCCAGCTTAAGAAAGGTCTTTTCCTCCTCTCAGACATGGACGGTCCTTCTGTAATCATAGCAGGGCAAAAGAAACCCCAGTGCCAGGCAGCTTCCTTCATCTACCAAGTCTCCATATCCCCACACCCACTTGGTAAATCACCAAACTACACAATGTGCTGCTCCCCTACACCCTGACCCCTTTACCCACCCACCCTCTGTCCCAAAACAGAAAGAGCTGCCTCAAACAAATGGCAACCTACTGGGTCTGCCAATGCCACCTGCTGTCAGGGAGCAGGCCCTCCAGCTAATCCCATTGGAGCAGAGTTGAAAAGGGTAGTTTATCACCCCTGGAAATCTGAACTGGCAGTGCCTTCCCAATCAGAGCTACTGAAGATCTGTTTGATGCCCGTGGCCAGATAAATTGGGGCGGAAGTGAGAAATCATTGCAAAAGTGAGGACTCTGAGTTGGCATTTTCCTTGGCATACTCTAACATAACTGCTTTTCATTCATTCCTTCAACAAGCATTTATTAAGCTCCTACTATGTATAAGGCACTGCATTAGGAACTGGGGATACAAAGAAAACAATTTTTAAATGAGAAGAAAAAGCCAGTCCCTTCCCTCAAGATTCAACTTTCTTTCCTCTATGATGGGGCAGCCTCTTCATAGAAGATTTCTCTAAGAATGTCTGTGTTTTGTCTAAGCAATTTTAAAAAATATCATCTGGCCTATAAGGCCAGTTGGAGGAAGGATGCAAGAGGTCATGTCCTCTATCCTCTTGTTGGAAATAGATAATGGCATTTACTGTTTCCTTTTTAATATGTTATCTCACTAAGAAGGAAAAGGAAATAATGTTATGTACATTAGAGAAAGACATTGAGAGATGCTACTGCTGATAATGATGTGGTTGAAATCCTAAAGAAGCAGGTTCTTTCAAAAGTCTCATATTTGCAGGGGTCCCAGTTCTAGTAGCCACACTAGCCCTAAATTCATGATCCGGGGATCCCTGATGCCTTATAAGTACTACAAGTACATGCCCAGTCGTGGGCTCTGTTTCCTATAGTTAATGACAGTTTTTAACATCACCTGTGAAATCCCTGCCTAAAATGCAATGCTTAACTGCATCTGGTCACACACCAGCAATAGTAGTACTTTGAAACACGACCTGTGTAATATATGACCACCTTGTAGAGGTTGTGGGTTATTCTGGAGAAAGCAAAAACCCTGCCTCCTATTGGTGGTGCTGATTTAGCAGGGGCACCTTTGTGTTAGGGGGTCACATAGCAAACTGGGATGTACAATCAGGCCTCGAATACTTAATATGACATTTGTTTTCAAGCAGGTAAATAATTATAAGGATCATAGGTTTAGAACCTGAAGGACCTTAGAAGTCATTGAGTCCACTCCCCACCTTGCTACACACACACACACACACACACACACACACACACACACACACACACACGAGTTACAAATGGGGAAAATAAGACATAGAAGTTAGGTGGCTTGCCCAGGGTCACAATTTTATTTAGTATCCGAGGCAAGATTTAAAACCTGGTGTTGCTGACTCAAATTCACTTTGATTCAGCAAAAAATTATTAAGTACTTAATTATTTAGCACTTAAGTGCCAAGCACTGTGCTAGGCATTAAGTACTTAATTATTTAGCACTTAAGTGCCAAGCACTATGCTAGGCATTAGGTTTGGAGGATAAAAAGGAAACAGTCTCTGTCCTTAAAAAATTGATAGTTATACCAAGGGAGGGGAATACCATGTCTACAGATAAGTTTAAAAATATATCTCTATAGATATATAGAAAATATATGTGTATATATATAAACATGCATATGTATGTATATCTGCATATAGCTATGCATACATATGTGTTTATATATCATATATATATATATATATATATATACACACACACATACATACAGAGATAGAGCAATTTCAGGGAGCACAAATAACTGGAGGAACCAGGAAGAGCTGGGCAGGGGGTTCTGCCACCCTTTAAGTAGCTCATATTCACAATATTGATAATCATCTCTAGCCTGGATGATCGCTTTTCAGGGTAGATTCTTGCTCAGTTATGAAATGGACCGGATGGCCTCTTAGGTCCCTTCCTGCTGGCATTCTGTAATTCTCTGCTTCTATGGAGGCAGTATTGCATAGTGGTAAGAGTCAGGAGTGTTGGTGCAGTGGCAAGCCCACTGGACTTGGAGTCGGGAGACCCGGTTTCTAGTTCTCCAGACACTTCATAACTGTGTGACCAGGAGAGACCCCTTTGCTTTCTTTGAGTCTCACTTTCCTCATTTGTAAAACAGGGACAATGATGCCAACACTACCTACTTCCAAGGGCTGATGTGAGGAAAGCTCATTGCAAAGGTTTAAAACTCTACAGGAAAGTGAGCATTATTATGAAGTTGGAGTCAAAGTGAAGTCAGTTTTGTTCCTATGGCACATAATGATAGCAATAATAATAACTAGTATTTATATAGTTCTAAAAGGTTTACAAAGCGCTTTACATATATTGTATTTCATTCGATCCTCACAACCCTGTGATGTTGAAGCTATTATGATCCCCATTTTGCAGATGAAGAAACTGAGGTTGAGAGAGGTCAAATGACTTGCCCAGAGTCATGCAACTAGTAGTAAGCATCTGAGGCAAAATTTGAACTCAGGTCTTCCTGACCCCAAGTCCAATGCTCTATCCATTGGACAGCTTAGTTGGGTACTTGAAAGAGCAAAGGACTTGGTGTCAGTCCTAGATCTGAGGGCCATCTCTCCGTCTTACTGGTTATGTGATTTGGGGCAAGTGGTTTAACCTCTCTGAACCTCAATCTCTTTATCCTTACGTTGGAGGGATGATATGTGCATTACTGACCCCACCTCCCACAGCCATTGTGAGGCAAGGTCTTTGCTAACTATAAAACACTTCATAAATCTGATTAGTGGCAGACCCTGTCCACCCAGGCATCTAATGCAACACAGTTGGTTTCCCAAAAATAGAGCACCCCTCCTGATTCCTCTATTTCTCTTGTCAGTTCTCCGATTATCAAAATTACATTGTGAATAGCTGTGTGAAAGAGAATCCCACCATGGAACGGTCCATCGCCTTATGCAATGGCATCTCCCAATGGGTCCAACTGATGGTGCTCAGCCGTCCCACTCCGCAGCTCCGGGCTGAAGTCTTCATCAAGTTTATAAAGGTGGCTCAGGTGAGTGCCTTGACTCAGATCCTTGACCTCGGTCTCTGAGATGACCAGTCCTCCTAGTCTTCTCCTAAGATGTACTTTCCTTGGAAGTTTAGGGGAGGGGGAGGAGCGGGATATGGCATTCATGAAGAAGTCCCAGGAAAACAAGATGAAGTATACTTTCTTCTTAGTTGAGAAATGGAGTAGTATGGATGCTGAATATTGTTGATGCATTCAAATGCAGCTGATCTTGGGGTTGGTTTTGCTTCATTGTTTCCCTTTGTTACAAGGGATTAGGGGCAGGTAAATTGGGAAGTGGATATGTTGTGAAAAATAAATAGCATCAGTAAAACTTGTAAAAGCTCCAAGACTTTGGTAACTGTTGTTGGTTAGTTATTTTCAGTCATGTGTGACTCTTCAGGATCCCATTTGAGGTTTTCTTCACAAAGATACTGGAGTGGTTTGCCATTTCCTTCTCCAGCTCATTTTACAGATGAGGAAACTGAGGCAAACAGAGTTAAGTGACTTGCTCAGGGTCACACAGCTAATACATATCTGAGGTTAATTTGAACTCGGTTCATCCCCACTCCATGCCCGATGCTCTATCCACTTCGCCCCCTAGTTGCCACTTTGATGACTGTTTTAATGCTAATGAACCCTATCCTATTCAATAGATCATTAAAGTGACTGCCTCAGTGCTACTGAACTACCTGCCTCAATTCTCAGGACGAGACTTAAGACAGATTTTCAGCCAATTAAAAATGGTTTGTTTTTCCAGATGCATATGAGCCTAGAGGGTAGTCCACAGTCCTTTATTAGATGGTCTTTTATGTCCTTTCCAGCCCCTGAACCAATGTTCTTCTGCTCTCTTAAGAAAGGCGAAGATGGGCCTGGTTTATTCAAGACCTTGAAACTGCTCATTTTTTTTTGAGTAAATCCAACACAGTCATCCTTTGTTGAGGGCCTACTATGTGCCAGACCCTGTACCAGGTGCTTGGCCTGTGATTTCATTGGCTTAGGAAACTCCCAGCAGAATGCCAGCTGGCACCTGGCCCTACAACTTCCAGTCTTAGAGAGCTGTCTAGAGCATTAAGGGACTTCCTAGGGTCACCTACTGTCAATGATGGGAACCTGGCTCCTCGGCTTTGAGGTGATTCTTCACTTGTCGTGCTGCTGGGGACTAGAAGCTTTTATTAAAAGCCACAGTCGTCTTCAAGGAGCTTACCTCTCAGATTTTAAGGTATTCAGCGCTAAGTGTAGGCATTTGTAAGCTGAGGATGGGGGGGACATTTAAGAAAAGAGATTGTCCTGAACATCTGGCCCCTCTCCCCAGGAGAAACTCCAGTTCGAGTCTAATTGAGCTACAGGAAGCACTGTTAGGGACTCTTATGGTCATTAAGACTAACAAGCCTGGGGCAGCTAGGTGGTGCAGTGGATAGAGCACCGGCCCTGAAGTAAGGAGGACCTGAGTTCAAATCCAGCCTCAGACCAAACACGTGACCCTGGGCAAGTCACTCAACTGCAATTGCCTTTGGAAAAAAAAAAAAAGACTAGCAAGTCTGAGTTGACCCCACAAAGCCAGCTGCCATTGCAAATCCCAGCACCCAGTTTAGAAATCTGGTCTTGGTTCCATATTCCAGAGTCTCAAATGAGATTTGAGGAGGGAAATGGAGAGGGGTTTGCAAATGGATTCTTAATGTTCCATTTTGTGGCAACGAACAGTGGGAGTCAGAAGAAAAGGGGGCGGCAGGCTCTCCTCACACTGGGCGCTGGACGGATACACGCTGCTAACTGCTAACCGCCACTTGTTCTATTGGGGTCATAATACAGAAACTCCATCAGCTGCAGAACTTTAACACTTTGATGGCCGTGATCGGAGGACTGTGTCACAGCTCCATCTCCAGGCTGAAGGAGACAAGTTCCTATGTTCCCCATGAGATCAACAAGGTCAGTGTTATTTCTTCACTCCATGGGTGCTCGGTAGAAGGCCCAGGACAGAATACTTCCCAGGGTTTTCTTCCAGTGTTGACAAAATTGGCTCCCTATGCCAGTCCAGAAGAGGGATCAGGAGCCCTATTTACAAAGGCATGTGAATATAAAGGAAGCCGCATGATACAGGGCAAAGTCAGTCAATAAGCATCTATTAAGCACTTACTATATGCGAGGCATTGTGCTAAGTACCAGGTATACAAAGAAAGGCAAAAACAGTGTCCCTGCCCTAAATGAGCTCACATTCTAATCTCTCTCTCCCTTTTCTTTTTCCTTATTCCCTTCCTCCTCATTAAATAACATTTTATGTACTGGCCCCTTCCCAACTACCCCAAAAAAACACCCGGGTCTCCCCTAAACTGGAAAATGCAATATGTATGTGTGCATGCATGCATTCTAAAACGTGCAACATCACTCAAATGCTACATCCAAGAAATTTATAGTGTAAATCATAGATAATCTCAGAGGGAAGGTAGTAGCATGTGGAGGGACTGAGAAAGGTCTGCTATAGAAAATGTGATGTGATAGGAAGAAAGGAAGGGAGGAAGGAAGGAAGGAAGGAAGGAAGGAAGGGAGGAAGGAAGGAAGGAAGGAAGGGAGGAAGGAAGGAAGGAAGGAAGGAAGGAAGGAAGGAAGGAAGGAAGGGAGACAGGAAGGGAGAGAGGAAGGGAAGAAGAAAGGAATGAAATCTCTTTAAGGTTTGCAAAGCACTTTACATGTATTATTATCTCTTTTTATCCTCCCAACAACCCTGTGAAGTGGGTCCTATTTTTATCCCAATTTTACAGGTAAAGAAACTGAAGCTAAGGGAGGTTAAGTGACTTGCCCAGGGCCACACAGTTGGTAACGTCTGAATCAGAATTGAACTCAGATCTTCCTGACTCCCAAGTCCAGTACTCTATCCATCACATCACACACATGTACTTCCTTCCTAAAACACGTTGGGCCTCAGTGTTTATGCTGGGTTCCCTCTTTTCCCCTTTCTCGTATCCTGTGGATTAGTGACAGGAAAGAAATTGTGGTAAATAGTTGCTATCACTAAGGTGACCTTAAAAAAAATAACTTGTCGCTTTCCCCCATGCAACTGCTCTGATTGGAGTTTGATGCAAAATTTGTATCTCCCTAGGTACTCAATGAAATGACGGAGCTACTGTCCTCCTGCAGAAATTATGACAACTACCGGCGAGCCTATGGGGAGTGCACCCACTTCAAGATCCCCATCCTCGGTGTGCACCTCAAGGACCTGATCTCCCTGCACGAGGCCATGCCCGACTACCTGGAAGACAGGAAGGTGAACTTTCACAAGCTGCTGGCCCTCTACAACCACATCAATGAGCTGGTCCGACTGCAGGAGGTGGTACCGCCCTTGGAGGCCAATAAGGACTTGGTGCACTTGCTGACGGTGAGGCTGCCCAATCATCATCGTTACAATAATCGTGGCTAGTATTTATAGAGGTCTATAAGGTTTGCAAAGCACTTGATAAACATCGTCTCATCGCACCAACCGAGGTTTGCTATTATTATCCCCATGATACAGATGAGAAAACTGAGGCGGATGGGGATTAAGTGACTTGCCCAGGGGATACAGCTAGTAAGTGTCTGAGGTAAGATTTGAATTCAGGTCTTTCTGACCCCAGGTTCAGCATTCTATTTACTGAGCCACCTAGCTGCCTCTGTGAAAACAGAGGAGGTGTTCCCCGTATATATGAGAATGCCCAAGAACCTTAGGAAACAGCCAAGTGACAAACCAGGACAAAAAATGGCAATGTGATCTAGTCAGTTAGTCAGTGAACATTTATTAAGCTCCTACTGTGTGCCAGCCTCTGTGTCCTAGCATGGAGGATAATACAGATAAGAAATTGTCTCTGATCTCAAGGAGCATACATTCTATCAGGAGAGACAACGTGTACAAATGTAAACATATAAATGCAAAGTAGTTTTTGGAGAAAGGGTGCTAGCAGTTGGAATGATAAGAGGACAAAATTTGTCCTGTGAGACCTGAGTTCTAAAGTCCCTTCTCTACCACTACCTTATTGTGTGTCAGAGACAGCTGGGGGTTGCAGAGGATGGTGGCGAGCCTGGAGTCAGGAAGACCCAACTTCATATCTGGCCTCAGATACTTGCTAACCAGCTGACCCTGGGCGAGTCACCTAACCTCTCTCTGCCTCAGTTTGCTCAACTGTAAAACAGGGATATAATAGCACTTGCTTCCCAGGGTTGCTGTGAGGAACAAATGAGATAATAATTATAAAGCTCTTAGCACAGTGCCAGGCACATAGTAAGTACCATATAAATGTTAGTTATTATTATTATCATTATTGTGTGACTGTGAACTAATCATTTAGCTGTCTCAGTTTCCTCAACTGTAAAATAAAGATAATAGCATTCTCCCTCACAAAGTTATGGTGAAAATCAAATGAGATATTTGTAAAATATTAAATATTTGCACAGTGTCTGGTACATAGTAGGCATTTAATAAATGCTTGTTTCCTTCCTTCCTTAGGCACATTACAGCCTCATGCCTCATATATAAAATGAGCAGATTTGATTAGATAACCTCTAAGGATCCTTACAAGGGCAGTGAGGTGGCTCAGGGGATAGAGCACTTGGCCTGAACTCAGGAAGACCTGAATTCAAATCTGCCCTCAGACACTTCCTAGCTGTGTGACCCTGGGCAAGTCACTTAACCCCGTTTGCCTCAGTTTCCTCATCTGTATAATGAGCTGGAGAAGGAAATGGCAAACCACTCCAGTATCTTTGCCAAGAAAACCCCAAATAGGGTCAGGAGGACTCAGACACCACTGAAACAACCGAATAATAACAAAGGATCCTTACAGTCCTGAAATGAGTTAAACTTTCTGTACTTTCATTCCTCTGTTCATAAAATGAGAGTGATCATCATAGCCTCTCCAACTTGGTGAAACACCAAGAACGCCAGGTTAGGAGTCAGTCAATCAGTAAACATTTGTCAAGCACCAGGCACTTTGTTAAGCACTGGGAATTCAAAAGGAGGGAAAAGACAGTGCCTGCCCTCAAAGAGTTTACAATCTAGTAGAGTCAGAGGACCTGGGTTCAAAAACTGCCTCTGTTCCCTTTATGACCTTGGATGAGTCCCAGCCTCCTTGCTGAGCCTCAGCTGCTTCATCTGTAAAAGCAGAGAGGCTGAGCTAGATGGCTTCTAAGATCCCTTTCCTGCTGAGTACCTTAAAAGTATAGCAGAAAAAACCCCAGAGTGAGCATCAGAAGGCCTTTGTCCTAATCTTTGCTCTTCCACTTTCCTTATCTGTAAGGCTGGACTCAGTGTTCTCTGAGGCCCCATCCAAGCCTGACACACTACTCAAAGTGAGAGAGTGAACATATTGCTATTTATAAATTCCTAAGAATTAAGTTCCCAATATGCAAAAACTGATCGACAAGCTGATCTCCACCCATTGGGGGTGGGGGGTGGGGATCAACAATTACAAGCAACTATTTGCTTGGATGAATGAACGCCACCAGATTGGATCCTATCCGATGTGTAGTCAGAGTTGTTAAAAATCTACTTCGCTGCGCCAGCAAACCCCATACGGGAGAGTAGACTAAGAAGAGAAAAGTTACGTCAGCTCTAAATTAGGGAAAACACAAAAGGAGTATCTGAGAGGCTAACTTGACTTTGTTTGATCTGCAGTTATCCCTGGATCTCTACTATACCGAAGATGAAATCTATGAGCTTTCATATGCCCGAGAACCAAGAAATCACAGAGCCCCAGTAAGAGTTTTTCATATGTTAACTCCCCGATCCCCATTAATGTGTACTCATGCAACTCGGGCAGGACTTAGAGTCGTCATTGTAAAGACAAAACTTTTGATGCTAACAAGTCTTTAGCGAATCCCTATGGGATAACTATTACGGGGGTGGGGTGAGCTTTGTGTGATCGTAGGGTGGGTCTCATTCCTTTGGGAAGGGTCTTAGCCCAGAGCCAATTGATGGAAGTGAGGGAGGACAGTGACCACCATGTGAAATCCAGGCTAACTACCTTGGAGTGTTAGATTTCGTTTCCTCTGTGTAAAGAAAGATCAAGTTCATTAGTCCTGTTGGACAGGGAGAGGATGTCTACTTTAAGAAAAAACCACCTTCAAAATCTCACATCTCAAAAGTATGCAAGTGGGGCACTTTGCTGGAAGGAGACTTAAAAGGAATGTTCTCCCTGTTTGTTTTTGGTTTTAAGGGTTTTCTTAATATTAAGGGTTTTTTAAATTTTTATGTATTTATTTATAATGCGTGGAATAAAACAAGAATTTCCATAACATAGTATAATAAAAAAATACGTTATATACATATTTGCATCTAATGGTAGCCATCTCTAGGGCAGAGGAGGAAGGGGGAAAAAAAAGAAATTTACATGTTTTAAAGGTTGTTTTTTTGTTTTAAATATTAAGTTTTTAAATTTTATTTATTTAATTTTTAATTTATGAAATAAAACAAGCATTCCCATAACACAGTATAATTTTTGAAAAGATGATATATACATATTCACGTCTAATAGTGCCATCTGGGGGGGAGGTAAGAAAAAAAAGAAATTTACATGTTTTTAAGTTTTAAATCAGAATCAACATACTTCTGTTTCTTTCTTGCCTTGGGCTATTTCCCTTTTTGTTAGTGCATCCCAAGTTTTAAAAAATTGAACAGAAGAGTTAGGAAACTCAAAGCACTCTATATTACTCCTTGTTGATGGTTCTGATAAATGATGCAACAGGAGAGAGGTTGAAAATATAACAACATGTATGAAACACTTTCCTCACAATGAGAGGCAAAAGACAGGGAGTCCTCAGAACAAGGAAGATCTGTATTCAGGTTCTGCCTCTGATGTATACTGACTGTGTGACATTGAGCAAGTCTCTTAACATCTAAGTGCTCTAGTCAACCCTCTAAAACAGTGAATTGCAGAGAAGGTGCCAACTTGCATTTGCAGAGGGAGTTTCAACATTCAGGAGTTCCCTATGCTGATGAAATCACAGGTCCAGTCCCCATCCTTTTCCTCACAACAGACCTGTGAGGTAAAGAAAACTGTTATTATCCCCATTTTACAGATGAGAAAACTTGTTGTTTGTCCTTTGTTCTCAAAGAGGACCATGATCTCAGGGAGGTGATGCCATGACATGCGAGTAAATTGGATTTAAGTGAGGGAGGGTTGGGCAAGGTCACCAGCCTCACTTTCTCCTCCAGAGCCATCTGGGTCCAGTGGCTAGATATAGATCAGGACAACTGGAGATGGGTCAGGATGCAGTGGGAGACCTTGGCCTTTTTAAACTTAAGTCTTTAACAGGTCTCAGTTTGACTGAGGCAATTATGAAGCTAAGAATCATTGACTTTCTTAAGGAAAACATAGAAGTCCAACTCAGGGGGTCTGATTCCAACGCCAGTATTCTTTTAAATTCTGCCTTGCTACCCAAATAATGTTTGGCCCTTAGTCTACGTAAGAGTCGTATATTCTCTGTGTTATCTATACCAGAGGTTGCCAGACTCTGGTTCAAAGGCTTAACCTGGCCCTCCACCTGTTTTTGTACTTCCAAAAACTAAGAATTATTTTTGCTTTTTTTTTTTTTTTTGGTGGAGGCAATTGAAGTTAAGTGACTTGCCCAGAGCCACAGAGCTAGTAAGTGTCTGAGGTCTGATTTGAACTCAGGTCCTTCTGACTCCAGGGCCAGTGCTCCATCCACTGTGCCACCCAACTGCTCCATATTTTTAAATACAACAAAATTTAATTTAGAAAAACAAAAGACATTCTTAGCTCCTGGGCTCCAACAGGCAATAACTTATCAACCTCTGGTTTATACTCTCACACTGTAGATAATTAAGAGTTAGCTATGAATCGCTATCAGCCTGTGTGGAGGGTCAGGGTCGGGGGAGCCGTGATGGGGAGAACTGTTAGTTACTCTCCGTATGTTTCACTGCAGCCTCTAACACCTTCGAAGCCTCCAGTTGTAGTGGACTGGGCGTCGGGGATATCTCCCAAACCTGATCCGAAGACCATCAGCAAACATGTGCAGAGAATGGTGGATGTAAGTGCAAAACTGCTCCTACAGAGAAAATCCTTCAGCACGAGCAAGCCATGGGGAACTGACTAGCCTTGGGAAGGAGGGAAAAGGAGATGTGTTGGTTATTTTGGAACTCGTGAAAATGAGTTTATGGGATGAAACAAACATTTCCCTAACATAGTATAATGAAAAAAAATGATATCTACATGTTTGCATCTAATGGTAGCAATCTCTAGGGTGGAGGTAGTGGGAAAGAGAAGAAAAAAAAGAAATTTACGTGTTTTTAAGTTTTAAATTAGAGTCAGCATATTTCTGTTTCTCTTTTGCTTTGGGCTATTTGTTAACTCTTTGTTAGTGTTCCCCAGTTTTTAAAAAATTGAACAGAGTGGTCAGGAAACTCAAACCAGTCCTTATTACTCCTTGTTGATGGTTCTGATAAGAGATTCAGCAGGAGAGAGGTTGAAATCATAAAAACATTTATGAAATACTTTCCTTCCAATGAAAGGTAATAGACAGAGAGTCATCCTCAGAACCAGGAATGAGAATAAACAGAGGGAATGACTCTAAATTGCAGGAGCTAAGTCTCCTAACAATTCACTCAGTATTCTTTAGCCCCTGAGTGCAGAGAGAGACGTATCTCTGTCCAACCCTCACCAAGATAGACAGCCCCTCGGGGTAATAACTACAGGCAAGGAAATCTCCCCAAATATCTTAAGGGTTCTTAGTTATTTGAGGATTGTTTTCCTGGGGGAGGAGAGAGATAATACATGAGGGCAAAAAAGAGATTAAGTGGGGAAAATCTAAATTTGACCATTTTAAACAATTCCTTGTACATAGTGGGATTTAATAAATGGTAGTTGCTAAATCAGTACAAAGTGATTGGAGCGAAGGAATCAATACATACTGAACCTGCTAGGTTCAGTGTAGAAGGGGATATAGAGTAGGGCAAGATATGGCCCCTTCCTTCCAGAAGCTTGCAATAGAGTTGCAAAAAATAGATATAGTTACATAGATAGATAGATAGATAGATAGATAGATAGATAGATAGATAGATAGATAGATAGATGGATAGATAGATAGATGGATGGATGGATGGATGGATGGATAGATGAGTGGAGGGAGGGAGGGATGGATGGATGGATGGATGGGTGGATGGATGGATGGATGGATAGACAGAAAGATATACCCCACCCACTCCCAAAGGTTACAATATGAAACATTGAATGAAAAGAGCCAGTCAGTAAGGACAGAAAATGCTCTTGAAGTTCTGTGGTAGGAGGGATCCCCTAGTGGGCTAGTGTGGTAAGGATGTGGCATTTGAGCTATGTTTTTAAGGATGGGTAGGGCTTGGCTAGGCAGGAGGGAGGTGGGGAAGAGGACTTTTCCACCTATAATGAGGAAAGATGGCAGGGTAGCCAGAGATTAAGCATATATTGGATGTGTTGATAGCATTGGGGGCACATGCAGTCCACCAGATAACGGAAGAGACAAAGGAATGACCTACACATCTACTTTGTTGATGACTGAGGAGCAAGGTTCCATATTCCCCTACTTGGGTAATGAGAGGCTTTCATCTGGGTCACCTGATCATTGATCTCTTGGTTAACATGAAGAATCATCAGTCGCTTTTTGAGAGTCATCTGAAAATTCCCTTTTCTTACTCTTTCTTCCAGTCTGTTTTCAAGAACTATGATCATGATCAAGATGGATATATTTCCCAGGAAGAGTTTGAAAAGATTGCTGCCAGCTTCCCCTTCTCCTTTTGTGTGATGGATAAGGACAGGTGAGGCCTTGGTTGTGTGTGTGTGGCACCTAGATGGGAGTCCCAGTGGATGAGAACTGTGTGTCATAAGGGGAATATGTACACACAAGGGTCTACACATGATGGTTTTGTACTGAATTGCAGAGTTGGTAGGAACCTCTAGGCAATTCCCCTTCCTTCACCTAAGACTTCCGAGTAGGTCATGTGAACAAGGTAGAGGACTAGAACCAGGTGTGGGGAACCTTCAGCCTCGGGGCCACATGTGGTCCTCTAGGTCCTCAAGTATGGCACTTTGACTGAATCCAAACTTCACAGAACAAATCCCCTTAATAAAAGGATTGTTCTTTAAAACTTGGACTCAGTCAAAAGGCTGCACCTAAGGACCTAGAAGGCCACAGGTTCCCCACCCCTGGACCAGACATTTTCTGGTATCCTGATGACCTTTGGACTTCTCCAAAACAGAAATTACATGCCAAAGCAACTTCAGCTGTCTTTGTGGTTTAAGACCCAGAATCCAAAAGGAAGACAAATAAAAAGGCTCAGAATTGACACTCAGTGACCCTGGGCTCATTCAGCTCCCCTTCCCTACCAACAGCAAGGCTGCAATAGTAGACCCAAGAGCCAACACAGGCTTACAACAAAACCCATGCTCATAGCCCAGTCCTTCCTTCCTTCTTTCAGTGGCATGGAGTCTCTAAGCTGTGGAAGTTTGCCCAGGCCACAATAAATAGATGATGTCCACAACCCTGTAGAGCTGGTGCTACAAAGCTCTCAACTGATGGTTCTAGGGTAGATAGCCCCATAGCACCAATGAGGCAACTGCCCAAGCCAGGCCAGAGACCTAAGAAGACTAAGTGAGAAAGCACACCCGGATAGGACACCATATATAAAGGTGGGGCTGTGAATACTCCACTAAGCCTGAGGGAAAGAGCCCAGCATGCAGCTGGGACCAGTTCTGACTACCCAAAAGTCACTTGAGGCAGAGACCTAGGTTGGTGAACTGTAAATTGCCCACCTGGAAGGAGGCTGAGACACTCTGAAATCCAGCCCCCAAGGAAACAAAACAGAATCAGAAAGTGAACAGGGAAGAGGGGGAGAGAGTGAAATTACAAAGATCTCAGGAAGAAGAAAAGTCAAAGACCCTGAACATAAGCAGATAAATCAACAGGGAACACACTAACAACAGAAGGAAATATGGCCTTCAGAGCTAGTATATGAGTTCAGGCATCCATGAATAAATACTGCAAAACAAACAAAAATAATACCACACTTGATGAGACAGAGGACCCTGTAGAATGTGAGAACACAGAACCACAGCATGCTGTTCCTGAGAGCTTCAGAACAGAAATGAGAATTATGAAAGCAGGATTTATGTCCTGCACCGCAAAAGTAATGAACAGAGTAGAAAAACTGGAATCTGTGAAGGCAAGTCTCATGAAAGAAACAACAGAGAGAGCAGTAGATTGGGAATGCAAATATGCAAAAGCAAAAGACCATCTAGAAGAGAAATGAAAAACAATAATATTAAAGGAAAATAACCTTACTATGTAAGCAGAACATACTGATCTCAGTGACAGGATTTGTACAGACAACCTAATATGTTTCCCAGAAAAATACTATAGAACAAAAAACCTTAACATCACAATGCAAGAAATAATAGAAGAGGACTTCTGAACAAAGAAAATGAAATACCAGTTGAAAGAATTCATAGATCAGTTCCAGAAACGAACAAACAAACAAACAAACAAATAAACCCGAGGCGGCACACTGCAAGACACATAGTGGTTAAAAGTAACAATTCAATTAAAAAAACAAGTTCTGCAAACCATTAGGGAAAAGACCTGCAAATACAAAGGAAAAGAAATTCAAATAATGTATTCTGTATGTATCAGAAAACATAGGAGAGAATGGAATAATGTGCTCTGAAGAGCAAGGGATCTCATGATACAGCTCATGATGAACTATCCTCTAAATCTGACCTTATCCATATCCATGGAAAAAATATGGACATTGAATAATTAAGAGGCATTTGAAATATTTTTAGAGATTGTTTGCTTCTACAATAAAACAGAAATGCAGGAAGAGTGAATAAATGCATCAAGCAAGGACAGAAACAGCAGTAGAGTGATAGTTAAAAACTCCTTTCTTAATGTACACAGTGAGACCAGGGTAAAGGCAAAAATCAGGTGGAGATAACAGTGAAGAGGTTCTTGCATATGATACTTGCTTTCGGTTTTAGATAGATACCTTTTATCATATTTAAAAAGGTCAGTCTATGCCTATACTTTGTAGGATTTTTTAGCGTAAAGAAGTGTACTTTGTCAAAGGCTTTTTCTGAATCTACTGAGGTGATCGTGTGATTTGGGGGGTGTTTTGGTTTTTAATATAATTAATTATGTTGATTGTTTTCCTAATATTGAACCATCCCTGCATCCTTGATATAAATCCCACTTGGTCATAATGAATGATTTCTTGGATAAATCACTGTTGTCACAGGGTTTTGTTCAAAATTTTGAGTCAACGTTCATTTATGGTATTGGCCCAGTTTTTTTAATATGTTTTATCTTTGCCTGGTTTAGGTATTTCAATTATATTTATCTCATAAAAGGATTCTGGTAGTGTGCTTTCTTTCTCAATTTTAGAGAATAACTTGTGAAATATGAGTAATAACTATTCTTTAAAAATTTGATAGAATTCTTCTGTGAATCCACTGGGGCCAGGAGTTTTTTCTTTGATAATGCCTTTACAACTAGAACTATTTCATTTGCTATCTGGTCTTCTGATAGTTGGGGTATTTTATATTTTTGAATGTACGCACCCATTTCTTTTCTGTTCTTAGTTTTGTTAGCATGCAAATGTGTAAAATATGTTCTGATTACTCTTTTTATTTCTTCTGATTTTGCTGTGATTTCAACTTGCTCATTTTTTATTGATTTGCTCTCCTTTCTGCTCTCTTCTTTTTAACCAGATTGGCTAAGGGTTTCTCAATTTTATTAGTCTTTTAGAATTACCAGCTTTTAGTTGTATCATTTCTATGGGGGTTTTTGTTTCCAATTTATCTGTTATCTCTCTAATTTTTAATGTCTTTTTTGTGCTATTTTAGGTTTGTGTGTTTGTTGGCGCTCTAATTTTAATTAGATAATAACTATTAATAGATTTTTAAATATAGATTTAATTAATACAATTAGATATTATAAATTATAATTAGATATAAATTAATATAATCAGATATTATAAATAAATAAAATAGATTAATATAATTAGATATTAACTATTAATTAATAGATTAATTAGATAACATATTCAGTTTGTTAATCCTTTCTTTTACTATTTTGTTAATGTATACTTGTAAAGTTATAATTTCCCCCCCGAGGACTGCTTTAGCTATATCCCAGAAATTTTGGTGTGTTGTTTTATCATTATCATTTTCTTTTACGTCGTCTTCACAACCACATGAAAGAATGTCCAAATCTCTAATAATTAGAAAAATTAAAATCAAAACAACTCTAAGGTTTCACCTCACATCCTGCAAATTGACCAAAATTTTTGAAAAATGGCAACAGTCAATGTTGAAGAGGTTGTAGAATGATAGGCACACTAATAAATTGTTGGTGGAGCTGTAAAATAATACAATCATTTTGGAAAGCAATTTGAAATTATACAAATAAAATGACTAAAATGTCTATACCCTTTGAACCAGAGACTCCATTGTTGGGCTTATTATCCCAAGAAAGTCAAAGAAAAGAGTCCCCATATATTCCAAAATATTGATAGCAGCACTTTTTGTGATAGTAAAGAATTGGAAACAAAGTAAATGCCCATTGCTTGGGAAATGACTAAACAAATCATGGTACATGAATGTAATGGAATATTACTGTGCTGTAAGAAATGATGTGTGTGATTAATACAGAGAAACATGGGAAGATCTATATGAACTGATGCAGAGTGAAGTAAATAGAGCCAAGAAAACAATATACACAATAAACTACAATAATGTAAATGGAAAGAACAACTGCACACCAAAAAAAAAAAAATCAAACATCAAACAAGACTTGAGTGAAAACGTATGAGAGGACACGCCCAATCCACCACTTTGTGGAAGTGGGAGATCTACAGATGTTACATATTGCACGTTTTCTGACTTTTTCAATGTATTGATCAGTTGTGCTGACTTTTTTCCTCTCTAAAAACTACTATTTGTTATACGAGATGGCTCTCTGGGAAGGGGAGAGGTACTTGGGATAACTATGATGCTGTAAGAAATAGTTGATATCAATAAAAACTTTTTTTAAAGACTTCTTCCTATATCCTTGATAGTGCTTTCAGGCAGGATCCCATCAAAACCATCCTAGACTTGGAGGAAAGCATGTCATTTTTTTTAAGATTTCAGGAGCAGATTCCATTGTCTACTTTAGTAATCCAAATTTCAATGAGAGGAAATTCTCCCTTTTACCCAATTTAAGTTTCTCATGCTGTAACATATCCCCCTTTCTTTTTTTTTTTTTATTTTTTTTATTTTTTGTTTTTTGCTTGTTGGTGAGGCAATTGGGGTTAAGTGACTTGCCCATGGTCACACAGCTAGTAAGTGTCAAGTGTCTGAGGTTGGATTTGAACTCAGGTCCTCCTGGCTCCAAGGCTGGCACTCTATCCACTGCACCTTCTAACTGCCCCTCCGCCTTTCTGCCTATAGGAAATGAAGGGAAAAGCTAGTACTTAACATCCCCTCATATCTTGGTTCCTTCTCCATCTATTCTCCTAGTTAAATAATTCTGGGATGGAGGGTGGGGGAAGACAGATACCAGTTTGTGGGAGCAGAGTCTTGCTAGAAAAATCAGGCCCTGATGCAGAATGACAGAGACAGAGACGGAGAGAGACAGAGATGGAGAGACAGAGATAGAGACAGAGATAGAGAGACAGAGAGAGAGATGGAGTAAAAGAGACAGACAGAGAGACGGAGACAGAGAGGTGAAGACAGAGACAGAGAGATGGAGACAGAGACAGAGATGAAGAGACAGAGATAGATAGAGACAGAGACAGACAGAGATGGAGAGACAGAGATACAGAGAGACAGAGTCAGAGAGACAGAGACAGAGATGGAAGTCCAAGACCACAAAGAGCTTTTTGCCATGGAGTCAGGAGTGTCTTTCTTCCAACCATGTCTCTGTCGCACTGTCCTGATAACTGAGTCCTCTTCAATGAATTTATGGAAATAAAATAAGTTTAACTCTAAGAAATATGGGTTTCCACTAGAGCAAAAATTCTTTCCCTAGGGCCCATAGAATTGTTTTCTTAATATTTTGATAACTGTGTTTTAGTGTAATTAGCTTTCTCTGTAACCCTATTTTATGATTTTGAGAACATGATTCTGAGAAGGGGCCCACAGCCTTCACCAGGCTGCCGAAGGGGTCCAAGACACAAAAAAAAGATGAAAAATCACTGCAGTAGGGGGAGAAACAACATGCAAATGCCTCGGGCGCAGTGGATAGAGCACCGGCCCTGAAGTCAGGAGGACCTGAGTTCAAATGCGGCCTCAGACCAAACACTTGATACGTAATAGCTGTGTTACCCTGGGCAAGTCACTTAACCCTAGCTGCCTTAAAAAGAAAAAAAACATGCGAATGCCAAGGACCAGGGAGGGAAGGACGTTTCTATAATGTAGCTATGCTCATAACCCCTCCACACGCACATACTCATCACCTTCCTTCTTTGGTCTGCTAACAGGGAAGGCCTGATCAGTCGGGATGAAATCACTGCCTACTTCATGAGGGCCAGTTCAATCTATTCCAAGCTGGGTCTCGGCTTTCCTCATAACTTCCAGGAGACAACTTACTTAAAGCCCACCTTCTGTGACAACTGTGCTGGATTTGTGAGTTTCCTTGCTGGAGTTTTGGGGCTGGAAAGGGGAGATAATGAGGGGCAGGGGGGAGCAGAGGAGGCGTGGAATAAGAGAGGAAAAAGATGACCATTGCTTATTATTACTCACCCTGACGTAGACATCGACCACAAGAACCTAATAACAACAATTGTTGTCATTCAGTCATTTCAGTCACGTCTGACCCTCTGTGACCCCATTTAGTGTTTTGTTTTACAGATGAGGAAACTGAGGCAGACAGGGTTAAATGATTTGCCCAGAGTCACATAGCTAGTATCTTAGGCTAGATTTTAACTTGGGTCTTCCTGACTCGCAGCCCCACACTCGATCCACTGTGCCACCCAGCTGCCCTGAACAACAATAATAATAACAATAATTACAACTACCATTAATATAGAACTTGAAGGCTTACAAAACAATTTACATGCCATCTCATTTGATACTCACAGCACCCTGTGAGGGTGGTACAGGCTGGCAGAGCTTAAGTGGCTTGTTTATGGTCACACAGCTAGTAAGTGTCTGAGGCGGAATTTAAATTCTTACCTTAACCCAGGAACCTAAAAAGTAGTTACAGGGCAGTGTAGTACAGTGGAATGAGAACTCACTCTGAAATCAGAGGAACTCGATTCGAATTCCAGCTCTGACGTAGAATACCTGTGTGACTGGGAGCAATTCACTCGATCTTCCTATCCCTCAGTCTCCTCTTCTGCCTAATGAATCATTCGTTTGATGGGGTGCGGCCTTGAGTGTAGAACAAATCCTTTAACTAAGGGGATTTGTTCTGTGAAGTTTGGATTCAGTCCAGGGGCCGCACTTGAGGTTCCCCATCCCTGGTCCAGGCAGTACTATATCTGCTTTCCAAGGACCAACCTAGCTAAGCATGGAGAGTCTTATCACCAGTAGGCTGGCCACTTGGTGACATTCTTTGGCTGTGGCAACCCAGAAGACGAGGGAAATGGGATCGGGGAGAAGAAATATCAGGTCTCAAAACACTGGGAATAAACAAGGTGGAAGAAGCAGACCAGCATCGGGAAGGAGGGTTTCTAACATGTCTCCTGTTTGCCTTGTAGCTCTGGGGAGTGATAAAGCAAGGTTATCGGTGCAAAGGTAAATTCCAGCTTTCTGTGTTGTTTTGCGTGCTGACCAATGACTTAGTGCCTTAGCTGGGGTCAGCGTATGCAGCCCTTCATGCCTTCCTCTAGGCAGACACGTCCTCATGGCAGCCACCCATTTACTTCTACAGCTTTCAAATTCACCTCCAAACTAGCGTCTCTATTCCGTGTTCTGGGATATCGATGTCATATGTGTGTGTATATATGTATATATGTGTGTATGCATATGCACATATATGTATACAGTTATCCCTTCCACATCACAGGGGTTAGGGATGTGGTGCTCATGCGATCTGGAAAATACAGGTGAAATTTTTTGGCCCTCCCTTTATACTAGAGAAGAAGTCTGAATTTTTTCTTTTTCTTTTATGGGGTGCTTATAGTATTAAAAGATAAAATGTTTTGATATCATACAATACTATACATATAGTTTATGCGCCTCTGAGTTTCTAAACTTAGTTTTCTAAACTAAACTGAGTTTCTAAATTTCATCTGCTGGCTTTCATATGTCGTCTGCGGCTTCAGCAAAACTCTACAAAAATTCCCATTTAATTTCTTATGCCGACCTATGATATATCAAAACTGCGATGGGGAAAGTCATGATGTGGAAGGGGTGACTGTATATCTATATCTATACATATATATATGTGTGTATGTGTATGTGTGTATACATATAAACTTATATCTATGTACATGTATGTATATGTGGGTATGTGTGTATGCATACACGTATGTGTATATATATAGAGATATCTCTTCCCTACCTAGGCTCTGGGCACAGCAAAAGGCCTTGATCTCTGCTTCTCTGGTAGCCACCACAGAGGAGCCCTGTGGTCCCGGTGGAAGGACCCCACCAATAGGACAGATAGTTATTGTTTCAAAAAGATAGTCCAATGTTTGTCTGCATTACTAGAAACCTCGTATACGAAAAAAGAGAAGATGTGGTCCCCTCACACTCTGTGCTAGAGTATGCTTATCTGGAGTATACTCAGCTTGGTTCTGGGCACCACATATCAGGAGGGACATCAGCAAACTGAGGCTAATCCAAATGAGGGTGACCGTGATGGTGAGGGAACTTGAAACCATGCATGTGACGATCAGTTGAACAAGTAATGCTATTTAGCCTAGAGGAAGACTTGAGGTGAGCATGATTTCTGTCTTCATATATTGGAAGGGTTATAATTTGAGAGAGGCATTAGACTGAATCTGCTGGACCCCACAAGACAGAACTTTGACCCGTGGGCAGAAGTTCTAGGCAGACGGATTTCGGCTGAGTGTAAGAACTGTCTAGGAATTAGATGTGCATGGAAATAGAATGGCCTGCTTCTTCAGGGAGGTGAAATAAATCACTGTCAGGACGTGTCCAGTGGGTGGGGAGCTGCCTCACCCGATCTCAGAATTGGAAGGGACCATATAGGTCACTTAGACCATAGGGTTTGGGGCCCTCGCTTAGAATCACAGAATGTCAGAATTGGAACTAATGGCCCCCAACCCTGGTTAGCATGTCTACATTTGTCACACTCTGGGACAGAATCCTGAATCCAGGTATCAAGGGTGTTCAGAAGTGAGGAGCAAGAGATGGTGGCTGAAATCTCCCAGGGAGATCATTTGCCTTGGACACTCTCCTTACATCTTGCCTTTAATCTCCTAACCTTAACAGAAGCAAAGACAATCTTTGATTTGGAGATACAAAATACCTGCTTGATGGATTAGCTCATTAAGAAAGGCCCTGGCTACGTTTTCAAGTTAAGAGACTGTCTAGTTTTCTAGCCTCATTCAGAATAGCAAAGGGAGCTTGGAAAAGCTTAACACCAATCAGGAGTTATTTAGTCTTATTCCTGCTCCCTGGAGTGAGCTGATCCTGAACCTCACACTCCCTCTGCTTCTCGGTATTCGTACAGACCTCTCCTCATGCCTAGAATGCGCTTCCTCGTCCTGTCTATCTCAGAGTAACTGACTTCTTTCAAGTCTCAGCTCAGGCGCTGTCTTCTCCACAAAGCTTTCCCTGACTCCATCACCTCCTCCCCGACCCCTCCCCCATTAGTATTCTCTTCCTCAGTGTACCATGGATTATGCCATTTTGTGTATGCATTGTCATGTGTATACAAATTTATTCCTAGTAGAATATAAACGTGACAGTAGGGACGATTTCATTTTTGTCTCTGTGTCCCCAGAACCTAACACTGTACCATGCACATAGGAGATGCTTAATTATTATTGAATTAAATTGGATGAAAGGAAGGGAAACTGAATCACTGAGTAGGACTTTTGTCTACAGATTGTGGGATGAACTGCCACAAACAGTGCAAAGATCTGGTTGTGTTTGAGTGCAAGAAAAGATCCAAGAACCCAGCTTTGCCGGCCGAGAACAGCACCTCTGCTGGGCTGGCGTCTACCCTCTGCCCGCTAGGCGTCAAAGATCCACAGCATGGTAAGTGTGTGGGACCTGGAGCTGCCATCTTGAGATCTGGAGAACGGGAGATGGAATGGGGCAGGGAGGACAGGCAAGGTCCTATCAAGCACCACCCACTCTGGGTACAGTTTCACCCAAGAACCAGTTGGCCTTTGAAAGTGAACGCCTATGCTTGAGTTACTGCTGAGTTGAATTTTAACCAAGTGCAGGACTGACTTCCCCCCAATCCCATGCCAAAGCCCTCTGCTAACATGTCAAGTTTAGTATTACTAGAATAGGGGGAGGGCAGGTTGGTACATCAATCAACCACCAAATATTTAATAAGGGCCCACCTACTCTGTGCCCAGAGCTATGGTCAAGTTTGTAGAAATAATAGACCCTGGGTTCTGTCTAGGAGTTAATGATGTACCTAGGAGTCATGGCACACATCTCTAGTCCCTGCTGCATTAGCGGCTGAGGCCAGAGGATCAAGCTAAGTTGGGGAGTTCTGAAAAATAATCAGGCTAAAGTTGATCAGGTGTGTACACTAAGTCTAACACCAATATGGTGAGCCCCTGAGAGTGGAGGCTGCCTAATTGGGGTTAAGGGGAGGAACTGACCCAGGTCAGAAAAACAAAGAAGGTTAAAGCTTCTATGCTGATCAATATTAGAATTGGGCCGTTAGAGGCAGCTAGGTGGCACAATGGATAGAGCACTGGCCCTGGAGTCAGGAGGACCTGAGTTCAAATGTGGTCTCAGACACATGATACTTACTAGCTGTGTGACCCTAGGCAAGTCACTTAACCCCAATTTCTTCACCCAAAAAAAAATAATAATAATAATTGGGCTTTTGAGTGACTGCCCCTACTTCTATCCTAAGTGAGTTAAGGGAGACCCAGTCTCAAAAAGGAAAAAAAAAGTGCCGATGATCTACTTAGGGAGACAAGACATATCCATGAGGTATTTAATCAATCATTCTCCATAGTAAATAGTAAGCACCAAACGAGGGCTTGGTGCTCAGCAAAGGGAGTCGTCACTGTGGGGAAAGGCCAAGAAGGCTTCGCTGGACATTTGAGTAGCAGTAGGTAAGAAGCAGATAAGTGGGGAGAAAGGGGAAAAGCATTCTAGGTAGTGAGAACTGTGCAAAGATAAGAATTAAGAAAGCACAAGCTGCACTCAGGAGGCAATGAGTAGGCCACTCTGGCTACAATTAAGGATTATTTTTGAGAGCCATGGAAGATGTTTGAGCAGGGTGGTGACACAATATAAGTAGCGTAGGCCTTGATGTCACAGGGAAATGCCATTAATTGCCCCCAGGTCTTGTAGTCTGGGCCGCATAGTGGGACATTGGATACTCTGGTAGTTTGCTAAGGATATTTGAGGTTCAGGTATAAATTATAAGCTTCAGAAAGTGCAAAATCTATGCTGTCTTTTCATCTTTTATCCCCAGTGCTCTGTGTACACATTGGGTGCCTAATAAATGTTTGTTGAATTGCTTATTGATGTACGACAGTTTTACACGGTGCAGATCCATCATGTCCTAGGTGCTCTAAGCAGCAGGTTCCAAAGACAAAAATGAAACAGTCTTGGTCCCCACGTAGCTTACATTTCACTAGGTGAGTAGAGGAGGAATATATCATGTATACAGGTGAGTACAAAACCTAAGGACAGGAACTGGCCCTGAGAGTGCTTTCATAGCATGAATTACAGAGTGAAAAAACCGCCCTCTCCCAGTGCAGGTCAACACCTTCTCTGCAATTATCATCTTAGAGTTGCTTAGGACACTAAGGGTTAAGTAACTTGCCCAAAATCACACGGCCAGTATTTTTGTGGGTCAGGACTTGAAATCAAGCCTTCCTGGCTTCAAGATTTGCTCTTTAAAACCTGCAAAAAATAAATACAAAGCAATTTGGAATAATAGTCTGTTCTGGTTAGAATTTAATGTTACCACAACTATCTGAAGGGTCTTTTAATGCAGCATTTTTGAATGAAGTTTATTGCCATCCAGTTCAAAGCAGCATAAATATTTCTAAAAAGGAAATTATATTGGAGAGATCTTTATTAAGATTCTAGCTCCTTTGGGGTAGCTGGGTGGCACAGTGGATAGAGCACTAGCCCTGGAGTCAGGAGGACCTGAGATCAAATCCAGCCTCAGACAATTGACCCTTACTAGTTGTATGTCCCTGGGCAAGTCACGTAACCCTGGTTGCCTTGACAAAAAAAAAAAAAAGATTCTAGCTCTTTCTCAATTTTGAGATTAATCTATCAACCTTAAATCAAAGGTCATAACTGGAGTAGGGTAGTGGGATCATTTATGACTGGTCTTCCTCTCTGAAGTGTCCCGGAGTCTCTGTCTCCCCATTATGAGCAGTGTCCTAGGGTATCTCCCCACCTATTCCCTCAACTGAATTTGTCTTTAAAAATGGATTTGAGGGGGCAGCTAGGTGACGAAGTGGATAGAGCCATGTACTTGGAGTCAGGAAGACCCGAGTTCAAATCCAGCCTCAGACATTTGACACTAGCTGTGTGACCCTGGGCAAGTCACTTAACCCCATTACCTAGCCAAAAACAAAACAAAACAAAACAAAACAAAACAAAAAAATAAATAAATAAAAATGGATTTGAGGGTTCATTTTCTGTTCCTCATCCTGGGGTACGTTTTCTGCTGCCCCAGCTGCAAAAATTGCTTGTTATAACTCTGCTAGGATCTCTGCTTACACAAGACAAACTAACGTGCTGTATGTCTTCCCTTAGGGCCCGAGGAAGGACCTTTCCTAGTGAATGGGGAGGCCATGGAACACAATGAGGAGAGCAAAGATAGGACAATCATGCTGATGGGCGTGTCTGCTCAGAAGATTTCCGTCCGGCTGAAGCGGGCCATGGCCCACAAGGGCACGCAGACAGAGTCAGTCACTTGGGTTGGCCACGAAGGCCCTAGTGGCTCATTCTTGCTGTCTTCCCCAAGGAAGGCAGCCCAGGACACTCTGTATCTGCTTCCCAGCTCCACGTCTCCCTGCCCCAGCCCGGTCTTGGTCCGCAAGCGGGCCTTTGTGAAGTGGGAGAACAAGGAGTCCATCACAAAATCCAAAGAGGACCTCCGGCACCTCAGACTGCCCACCTACCAGGACCTGGAGCAGGTACTCCTCTCCCCACATCCTTTCCTTTGATAAAGAAGATAGGAGGGCAAGCTGAAGCCAGATAACCCAGGAACCGTACCTTGTTTTGGGGATACGAGACAAGTCAGTCTAAAACAAGAAGTAAGGGAATGAAACTACCAGGACAAAAAGAGTGCCAGGTCTAGACTCAGAAGACCTTTGTTTGAATCCCATCACAGTTACTTACCTTGGGCGAGTTGACCCCAAGCAAGTCACATCACCTTCCTAATCCTGTTTCCTCATTTACAAAATGAAGATAATACCTGCCCTCTCTACCTCATTGGGTTGTTTTTAATTTTTTCTAATAAAAAAAAATTTATTTACTCTTCCTCCCTTCTTCCCACTTACCCCACCCCCATTGGAAAAAAAAAAGAAAACAAAACTCTTGTAACAAATATACATAGTCAAGCAAAATGAATTTCCACATCAGACACGTTTCATTCTGTACCTTCCGTCCATCACCCCTCTGGCAAGAGGTGGATAGTATGCTTCATTATTGGTGCTCTGGAATCATGGCTGGTCATTGCATCAGTCAAAGTTTTTAAGTCTTTCAAAATTGTTTCTCCTTACAATGTTGATGTTATTACGTGAATGATTCTCCTGGTTCTGCTCATTTTATTCAGCATCAATTTCACCCAAGTCTTTTTTTGAAACAGTAACCTTTCATAATTCTTTATTAGATGTCACAATGGTCCTGGGCCTGGAGTCAGGAAAACCTGAGTTCAAGTCCAGCCTCAGACCCTAGCTGTATGACCTGGGCAAGTCACTTAACTTCTTCTCAGTTTCCTCATCTGTAAAATGGGGATTATTATATCACTTACCTCACAGAGTTACTGTGAGGATTAAATGAGGTATCATTTGTAAAGAGCTTAGCATAAGACCTGACAAACAGTAGGTGCTTAATAAATGCCTATTTCTTCTCTCCAACTGCTTAAGGCACAATAGTATTTTATGACATTCATATACCATAATTCTTTCAGCCATTTCCCAACTGATGCATACACTCTCAGTTTCTAGTTCTTTGCCTCTACAAAAAGAGCTGCTACAAATACTTTTGTATATGTGGGTCTTTTTGTTTCTTTGATCTTTAGGGGATATAGGTCTAATAATGGTATTACTGGGTCAAAGTAACTTTTGGGGCATAGTTTCAAATTGCTTTCCAGAATGGTTGGACCAATTCATGGCTCCATCAGCAGTACAATCATATAGCCTCACTGGATTGTCCTGAGACTCCAATGAGACATTTTTAGAAGCATTCTATAGGCCACAAAACAATATACATGTAAGTTGTTTATATTACTGTTATGAATAGCTATTATTACACAGAAGTAAGTTTCAGGCCTGCTACCTCCTGGTCTTGGTGAATCACTTCTCATGGTTTATGAAAAGGCCACACAGGATCCCTGGGCCTCAGGTTTCTTAACCCTAAATCCAAACTATTCCAGGATATAAACTGTAGCAGCCAAGAGTAGGTAAAGCCCTAATCCCAGCAGGCTTATTTTTGAAAATCCCCCCAACATTGGCATTGTTGTTGTACCATTGTTTTCAGTCACGCCCCACTCTTTGTGACCACATTTGAGGTTTTCGTAGCAAAGATACTGGAATGGTTTGCCATTTCCTTCTCTAGCTCATTTGACAGGTAAGGAAACTGAGGCAAACAGGGTTAAGTGACTCGCCCAGGGTCATATAGCTAATAAGGGTCTGAGGCCAGGTTTGAACTCATAATGATGAGTCTTCCTGACTCTGGACCTGGCATTGCGCCACCTAGCTGCCCAAGAGTTGGCACTAGCCAGATGAAACCTCCTGTCCTGATGCCCAACCTCTCCCTTTGGCAGAAGCTAACATTTATCTACCCTGTTCCTCCCTTGCTGAATCCTGCTCTTGCTGTTCTGTTCTCTTCAGGAGGTAGCATGGTATAGTACAAAAAGAGGGTCAGAGTTGAAATCAGTGGGTTGGAATTTCTTACTTACCCTTAGGCAAACCAGGGTGGTCCCTTGGTATTGATGGAAAGGAAAGGAATTCTTTTCCCTGAATAAAAAAAAAAACAAAAATAAAGAACTATGTGGGTGGGGGAGAAGGAAGGGAAGAGAGAAGTGCCCCATGAACCATATCATATCAGAAAATGACAAAATATAGCTTTGAGTAATGGACTTTTTCAGGAGGAAAAATGTCAAAAATGTTGAGAATTAGGAGTCCTATGGAAAGGAAAATTTTGAGATTGCAGAGATGGCAAAACCATTCAGCATCTGGAGTGAAAAAAGTTCAAGTAACCTTCAAGAGCCTTGTCTGCTTCTTGCTAGCAGGAAAAACTCAATTTTGGCAAATGCTTCTAGATGAAAAAAGCATTGGGTAGAAGGGAGACGGGAAATGCGTCGAAGTCCCATAGATTATTACAGAGGTGAAGGGAGTGGGGCAGGGTGAAGAACTGCCACAACCGTCTTAACTTTCCTATGATTCTTTCTACTCACTTTGCTGCACCCGTCTCTCAGCATCCCCAGTTTCACCTTCATTGTGCCTGGTGAGAGCTAGTTTCCTTCTCCCAATTAAATTCTGAAAAATCTCCTTTTATCATGTACCTAGGGGTCTCTCATCAATGACCTAGTAATGATCATTTGTGGCTCCTGCTGACTTGGCTATTGCTTTTGCTACCCTCTAGCCTGCTGACTTGGAAGCTTATATAACCAAGCAGATAGGTCTGGGGCATCCTGCTTGGGTTAACATACCTGGTAGCCAAATGTATTCTTTTGAGTCAATAAACCAAGAACTAATTGTTGTTTTCACGTGCCGGTTTGATATTTAAGATGTTATTTTCTATTCAGGAAAAAAAAAAAGCCAACCATGTTGAAAAATCACTTTTAATCTTCCCTACAGTGAATGGGATATGCCAATCTAATACAGCATCCTGGGACACCACCAAACTGGATTTGCTCTTCATTGCAGCTCTTATAAAAATTCTTCATTCTTTCTCCTCAGGAAATAAATACTCTGAAGGCAGACAACGAAGTTCTAAGGACTGAATTAAGGTTTGCTCAGAAGAAGATTGAGACCCTCCGGCTTGAAAGAAGCAACAACCATGTCCTGAGCCGTAGGGAACATCAAGACTGCTCCTAGCCCTGAAGCTAGGAGAGCACAGAAGTCACATCATGGAGAAGGGTAGAACTCCACTTTCTCTAGAGCTGCCAAATACAAGGGAATGGGGAAAAGCCAGAATGTTGGGATTTAGAGTGTGGTATTCTATTTAAATATATATGCCCTCTTTTCAACCTGAAAAATTGTTCGTCAAAAAACACACACCCTCATTCCTTTTCCCATTCATTTGAGGAGGAAGTATGTTCTCAGTGGGGTGTTATCCAGAGATGTTCTCCTCCCCGTCTCCTTGCTGAAAAAAAAAAGCTAGACAATCTATGTCAGCACTCAGTACATCGCCTTTCACCAAAACCCTCCCCATCCAGCTCTGGTGCCAGTCCAGGGGAGTGGAAAGCCTGGCTACAGGATCTGGATAAGGCTCATAACCCTTTTCATGAAACACTGTCCTTACATCCTTCAAACTAAATTCTAAACTCAGCCCTAAGAAGCCTCTCAAACAACTCTGTTCCCTGTGGGACAGAAACTACTTTACCTGAGAACAGGATTCATTTTGCCCCACCCATTCAACTTGTTTCAAGCCTGCAGCAGAATCTGTTAGTCTGTCAACAGACTAGCCCAGTCCTTACACCTCCCCCCACCAATCCTGCCACCCTTGATCTCAGTGAGCCAGTTATGGCTCATCTCAACATCATTATCTCATGTCAAGACTGGCCAATCATTCTCTCTCTTGAGTGTCCGTAGGTTTCCCAGTAGGGTAGCCATTCTCCTCCTCTCTCACTGTTCCAAATCTCACTTCTCCCTACTCTATCCCCAGACATTTCTACCTGAAAGTGAACTCATTTGTCCCCATTTAAAAAGCCTGTTAACAAAATATCATTATGTGCAATTGGGAGGTTATCTTAGCATCTCAACTATCTGTCTGGTCTATATGATGACCATAGCCAGATTCATGACTGCCCATTTATAATAGTGCTTTAACATTTACAAAGCACAGTACACATTACATAGAAAGCACATTCATCATTTCTTTTAGAATAGAAATGTTAGAGCTAGCAGGACCTAAAAGACGATCTTTTCCAGTCTTAATTTTTCAGAGAAAAGAAAACAAAGCTCAGATAGAGAGAGAAGTATCTTTTGCAGGATCACAGCTTATAAATGGTGAAGTTGGAACTAAAATTGGCTCTTTCTCTAGAGTTCTTCCCATTATACCATACTGGAGAACTCTGCAGGAAAGCAGCATGGGCTTAATTATCTACATTTTACAGATGAAGAAATGGAATCTCAGAAGTGACTTCATCTAAGGTCATATACCTAGTAAAGTAGCAGGGCCAGATATTATAACTTCTAAGTCTATTGCTATCAAATTTAAGTACCTGGCTATTACCCTATTGTATGGCTTAAGCATCAGTGGTAGCTGAAATATGATACATCATCTCCAAACACGTAATTTTGCATTTGATAAAAGCATGCATTGAAGATGGCACAGCCAACAAACACATTGGTACATGAATTTACATTGTACTGTAGCTAGAAAATCTTTTTTTTTTAACCTCTTCTGTTTATTCTGAAATTAATTTTTAATTCAAGGAAACCTTCAAAAGTTCAGCTGGTCATGACAAAATTCCTTTCTTTTTGTTTCAATGTATGTGTTTTGGAGAAAGGTTATACCCTCTCATTAGTGAAACTGTTTTGAGGTATAAGCTAATTAGATGGGTAGTTTCAATAATAGCTGACATTGTAAATATGTATACATTGTGTATAGAAAATATTGTGCCTGCATGTGGGCTCGTTTTTCTTCCTGTGTAAAAATGTGAATGTGAAACATGTACAATTTTTGGACATTCCTACATTAATCCCAAATGCACCAGAGTATTCTGAAATCAGAAAATAGTAAAACATCTTGCACAGAGATTTATAAATATGTTGTCATTTGTTACACTTTCATGCAAAGTATGGTAAGATAAATTTTATTAGTCAATTGTGACAAAATATGAGTTGATAATTTGTCCACAATTTTGGAATCTTGCATCATTCAACTTCATTAGTCTGGCTTGTCTGAACAAGATTTTACCAATTCCTATTTTGGTTCCCTTTCACTCTACCAAATGAGAATTTGGTTTTATCTTTTATCTTGGGGTGTCTTTCACTTTTAAACTTTGAATGCTCAGCTTTCCCCAAGATATCCTCACTAGCCAGAACTAACATTTCCAGATGACCCTATTTATTTGGGTACTAGAAAGTTAATTGAATGAGAAGTAACTAATTTAACCACAACTTTTCCCAGAGTCATCAAGCCTGCAGAGGTTTTGGGGGTTGTTTTGTTTTGTTTTGTCACAGACACCCCTGAGCAGTCTGATCCATTCTTGGAATAATGTTTTAAAATTAATAAAATGACAAAGGAAACCAATTAAATTGAAATAATTAAGCGAAATATTTAAAAAACCAAGTTCACATTCCCCAGGTTAAGACCTCTGTACAAAGGTCTCAATGAATAGAGCTTGGCAGGCTTATTTGCTTTAAACCTTATGAAGATGTGAAAGTCACAGCATTGAAGTAGAACAATTTGGTTAATACCTGCTTAACCACCATTGGTCTCAAGTGTGCTTCCTCTAGATGTCTATTCTCAGAAGCGTCACTATTAGTAGGCAGTCTTATTTCTCATTGGTACTTAACATCCTCGTAATTTGTAAACCTGTCCAAAGTTGTATAATGTAAAAGAACCGACAGAAAAATCAAATGTACAGATTGTAAAGTCTTTTGATACCTGATGTAAGTTTTCTTTGTTTAATATTTATATGATAAAAGATATTAGGACCATCATCATGTGTCATTTCTTATAACTAACAAAAAACAAAAAAGCTTCACTTTAGACTTTTCAACTGTCTGAAAACTACTGGGATGTTGACTTACGGCTTTTAAGAAATGGCCAAGTATCCAAGTACATCAATTCACCAAATAACAGACTGAGAAACTGGAAGTGGTCATGCATGTGATAAAACTTCATTCTACTTTCTGTAATTTTGTCCATGTGGGTACTTCCCCCAGTCAACAAACTTTTATGTGCCAGGCGCTGTGCTAAGCATGGAATGGATCACAATCTGTATCTAAAATCGGGAAGTAGTCATTTAGAAATTAATGTGCTAAGTTTAACCCCCTGCCATCAACAGTGATGAGCCCTTCCAAATGTAGCTAACCTGTTAACGGTTAAAAGACAAACATTGAATCACCAATCCAGGGCCATATTTGAAATCTTTCTCTAGGTTGACAGGACCAAAGTTTGGACACTGGCCTAGACACAGAGAACCCAATATTACTGAATGAATGAAATTACTAACTCACTCCAAAACTGAGTTGATTAACCTGGGGTGGGAGGCAGGCCAGAAAAGGGATGTCTCTGGAGGTCTGGTTCAGCGGATGCTGATTCAGTAGGATGGAGGGCCAAGATATATGAGGTCGATGACTGGATGGGATGTGATACATTGTCTGGAGTCAGCTAGTGTTGTTAAGGTTCACCCTCAAAAATAAGGACAGCTCAGCCTCAGAGTAAACCTTCAAAACTGGGTGAATTAACTTAGTGGAATATTCTTTAGGTCAGGTCTGGAAAATGTTGTTTTAAGGGGGAAAGGGACAGTGGCACTGAAGAGGACAAGATGTCAACAGAATAGGGCTTTAGTGGAGTTATTTTATAACTCTAATGTCATAGGTTCAGCCCAACAAACTTATTAAATGGGGGCTGAAGAGGTTGAGGGTGAGATATAAAAGAAAAAAAACTTTTCCAGGATTTGGGAATGTTAGAGGTTAAAGGTACAACTTCATTTTGGTTGTGTCCCCAGCATAGTGCATTGGATACAACAGCTGTTAATGAAGTGCTTAAGCAAGAGTAGCTAATGACATCAGTCCCCCTTTTCTTTCCAATCCTATTTCAACTGCAATTTAATTATACAAGTAAAAAGAGAATAGCAGAGATTACCTCGAAACAATGGTTAGCCTTGATCATTTACATTTATACTTACTCTGAACAGACATATTTAGTAAGCTAGGAATTTGACAGCTAAAAAAATCCATTGAAGAGCTGGAAGGAACCTTAGAGATTAATCCAAGCCTGTCATTTCCCAGATAAGGAAACTTAAGTCGCAAGGGAGTGGATGACCTGCCCACAAGAGAAAGCAAGCTAAGTACCAAAGCATACATGTCACTCACTTCCCATGCTTCCCCCAGGCTTTTGATACTGAGATCTAAATTGGTCTCCACACAGTATTATGCTCTCCTGGACAGACAGACTTCTGAAAGATGAAAGAAAGATGAAGTTGTTTTAAAGCTAACTTTTTTTTTGAGGGGGGGGAGTATTATTCAGTGATAAAAGCAACTCTGATTTTTGAAAAGTTATTTTTATTTTTTCAAGTGGTCCTTTCTGATTTACTCAGGGTAGGTGACAACCATTTGGTACAGAGGAATTTGTCAGATTCTATATAAATAACACAAGCAAAACTTAAAACAGTATTTTATTCAGTGTTCACAGCTGTTACTAAAAGGTGTTTTCTTAAATATGGAAAGAATTTTTTCTATTGTCACAAATGAGAATTTGAGTGCTTTTGTCCATTAAATGTAAACATACAAAAAATACCCTAAACAAATATTCACAAATATCAATCAAAAAATTCTACATTTTTCCCTCCCTCTGGAAAGTATCGTGTCTCAGAGGGTTGGCTTGAAAATACATTTTCAAGACTGCAGCATACAGAATAATCCCCCTTTTTCATGTTATTTCATTTCCTTAGGATTTTTACCCCATGGCTTCTTTTGAAAAACTGCTCAACAAGAAATCACATCACTTCTCTGGTTAACAACCTATTTACGTATCTATTGAATTAGACAGACTGAAAAGTTGTTCTGCATATGCTGGGACACCAGTTCTACAACCTGCCTGAGAAATACTTGGACAGCCCAATCCCATTTCTAGGAGAGATTTATCATTCCCCATTTGCTCCTTGAATGTAAGGGACTGCCCCCAAAAGACTTTACAATATTTTTTCACTAATGTTCACATTATTTGTGAATCAAGTAGTAGGGTGTTATCATCTCCATATGATACATGGAAATTTCTTCTAAGAGATGGAGCATTTGCTCTACCCCTCAAATCCTCCAGGAAATAGTGCCAAGATTAGAATTCTGGATTCTAGATTACCAGGCCATTGTTCTAATCACGAATGCAGAGATGCCAAGCTAACTCCCTGGCTAGCTATCCCAACCTACTACCTCACCCAAACCACTACAGAAAACAAACAAGTTCTTTCCTTCAGGAAGTAGCACTACCCATGAATCCATTCAGTCCATCTGTAGTGAATCTACCAATCCAATATAATTTCCGGCCAGATTTAACATTAAAGAATCAACAGATAAAGTAATTTGGCCTAGAGGCTCAGCCCAATCAATTCCTTACTTAAAAATGCAAGAGACAGACTGGCTTGTCTTTTCATATATTCTAAGGCTAATAGTGGGGCAAAAATGATTATTTTCTTTGAAGGCTTGTTCCCTTTCCACCAAAGAAAGATATTTCATACTTTTATACACAGACAGTACATGTAACTTTTGTCAATTTAAGATAATTTTCATTTCAACTTTGTTTTGTGAGATAAGAAAATTCTAAAGATTTTAAACTCAAATCAGAAAATGATTTTAAAATGCTAGGGAGGAATTTTATGGAGAGGAAAAAACCTGCTATTTTTTCATATGTACAAATAGGTTTGGACTATAGAGAAGGAACCCCAGCAAAAATATAGATGAAATGGAGTTCCTCCTGTAGAGAAAAAGCAAAACTAGATAAACCCATTTTGGACCCCTTGACTACTTATTCCCAGGCAAAAAAAAAAGGGGGGGGTGGCGATTAACAAAAAGGATGTACAGAAGGATGTACAAAGGATGTACAAAAAATACTGATGAAGCCAACAATCTATGTGAAAAGTGGGGTCAGTTCTATGAAACAAACTTAAATAAAATATAGGTACTTTAGAGTCTAAACTCTGACCAGGAAAATACTAAAATTCTTCCCTTCCCATAATCTAAGATTAGTAGTAATAAATATTTACATTTTTAAAAAGTTTTTTGTTTTACTTTCTCATCATCATTTTTTTTTGGAAAAAAAGCTCCAACACGCTCAAGGATACATGGAGTATAGGGACCACTTCCCTTAAGAGATCAAAATCCAATATAAAAACAATGCTCTTATGTATTAACCAGACTCAACAGTGATGGTATCAGGAGGTCTAAAGGGTGCATACTTCATAGAGCATATTCAAATCTGTTATTTAAAATACTATGCCTAAAAGTACCGAACACATCCTTCTACTAGAAAACAGGCATCATCTAGTTATCTATAATGGAATTTCTAATATCTTCGATATCCACCACCACCACCCCCTCCTCCTCCATATGGATCTCCATAACCCCCTCTCCCACTATAACCTCCTCTCCCGCCATAACCCCCTCTCCCACCATAACCCCCTCTCCCACCATAATCTCCCCCCCTCCCTTGAAAACTACCACTTCTACCCCCACTACCCCCACCACCACCACCACCACCACCACCTCCTCCTCTTCCACCACCACCTCCACCTCCTCCACCCCAACCACCCCGGCCACCCCCACCCCCACCCCCACTTCCTCTTCCACCACCTCCTCCACCCCAACCACCCCTCCCTCCGCCTTCTTGTCTCTTCTGCCAAGGAGGCATTTCAGGAGGTGGTGGTTCAATTTCAGTTGGCCTTCCTCCTCTGTCTGGAACCCTTCCCATCAGCACCTGCAATTTATGGTGAAAAAAAGGAAAAAATTAAACTTCTGAAGTATTCAAATATTCTGTAAGTTTTTTGTTTTAATGATAAAGAAAAAAAAAACAAATATTTAAGATGCTGATTATCCTGAAACTTAAGGCAATATAAATTAATAATACTAAACACACAAATATTGACTTGATAAATCTCAGAATGTGGTTTTATTTCTAACTTGTCACACAGAATAATGGGGTAGAATGTCTCTGTTATTTAAGATATTTTGCCAGGGAAAATATCTCCATTACTTAAGATACTCTGCTTATTTCCTTTCATTTCAAACATGCTTAACTGTCTTCCAAAAATGAGGATTCTTACATATGTTCCCCAAATAAGGGAGCTGGAATTGATTTCAAAAGCAAAAAATATTTCATGGGACTTTTGGTTATTGATTATCATAAAACAAAAACTACGATAAGCACAAGCAAAAAGATGACCATAAAAATAAATGCAGCTTATAGGCCAACATCTATGATAGAGAATAAAGAGGTAGAAAAGAAGTCATAAAAGGGAGAAAGTAAACAGATATATTGATACTCAGTGACTTCTACACAAGGATGGGCACAAGGGAGATTGATGAAAACAGTTGGAAAATACGGTTCAAGATTACAAAACAAAAGAGACCAAATGCTTATAAATACCTTATATCATGAAAACTTTAAGAAAAGAGTCCAAAGGTACAGAACTTGGTTAGCAATGAACATCACCAAAAAAAATGAAGTGACTCTATTTTAACAGGCAAGAAATTACTTTTTATAAATGCAAGAGCCATTTGATAATCAGCTATCTGTCAGACCAACAGTTCATTAAAACAAAGGTCAAAGCCAACACTAAGAAACTAATGATTAGTGACACTGGAATCATCCAAAGGAGACTCACACACCAAGCTGTAACCAACATGCTATATATGAAGAATTGGAAATGAAACTAAAAACTATGTATATTAGATCAAACACAAAGAGTAGAAATCCATGCTGGAGATGACAA